ATAAAATTTTAGTTGAAAAGAAAAAAGAAACAAACTCGATAACCAGATGAATGCATAAACTTTAATAGAATTCATATTGAATGATGATTCATTATTATGGTGTATAGTTTATCAATCTGTTCATTATACATTATGAATTTGGCAGAATAATTAAAGTATTTATGTAAATATTGTGTAATTAACAAACATTGATAAACTTATTCATTTATTAATGAATAATTTATGTGTAGGTGGGTAGTAATTAGCTTTTGTTTGTTCATTCTATAAAATGTTTTACAATTTTTTCTACAAAATTCGACTAATGATACTGTGGTGTATGCTACATATGTCAGTAGATATAAGTGGTATGTAACATCAATCGGAAGTGAAAATCCTGGCAGCAGATGGCTTAGATGATCGGATTGAAGAGAATAGAAACGGAAATTTACAAATGATGTATTCAATGTATGGTTCTCATATTTTACCAAGATATTCTGTTATTTTGTATTCAGATACATTTATTTATTCCCACTTCTATGTTTTCGTTCATTACAGTAATAATGAAAGATTGAATATATAAATTCTGATCAATTTCAAATTCCATGGTGAAAATATTTTCCATGTTTAAAAGAGACATGTTTTATACTATTAATAATTATTAAGTTAGACGTTAGCTTTTGGTAACCATGCGAAGATATGACATTAATTAGTGAAGTAATTGATTATTGGGCTGGTCCACTTTAGTAAATAAGAAGTTTGTAGTTTTGAATCGTGGGGCAATGTTAATCTACAGTTTGAAGTATTTTAGTGAATGACTACTCTAATAAGTGAAACTAATTGATTGTACTAAGCAGAATCACAAATTTGCAAGATATGAAGATAATACATCGTATACACTATTTGCACAACTTCCTCTAATTGTCTTTTACAAAATTCATCGTTCTTATATTCCTGTTTCTACTTTGACTGCTTTCGTTTCTCTTTTTCTTCTTGTTTTCCTCTTCTGTCAGTAAGAAGCCCATTTCCATTTCCTGATACATACTACTTATGTAGTGAATAGAACACGGGTAGGGACAATCGAACGTATCTAACACGAAATTGCAGGACTTCTTAATAAAATCTAACAATCATATAGTAAATGCTTAATTTGCAAAATGCTCACTAATTGTCTCAAAATGACTCAGACTTCATTGTTCTTGCATTTTCATACAAATCGCATTCTGTTTCCATTCTTTACTATTCGATTCTCTTGTCTCTCTGCTGCCAGACCTTCTGTTCACGACTAACATCATATACTACTTATGTCAATATAAGTAGCACACACCACACTTATATCTGTCGGTATAAGTTGAATACAACACAGCATTACATAAAATAATCTGAAATTGGTACCACTGGGTTAGGTGTAGGTTACGCAGATTACCCCTGTGTAATGACCATTATTTTTTTCATAACAATGTCAAAATTTGTGTAATTCAATGCTTTTCATCCTTCGACCTTATTTATTTTATTCAGCTTTTTCTTATGTTCATATTACCAAGGCAGTTAGTATTACTCTTTCCTCTCGTGGATCACTACTCATATTGCATTGAGCTGTTGTGTGGCTATATGAATTGGTATACACTGAAACCAGAGCTTATATTGTTTATAACGGGCCTACTGAACTTTATATAACATTGCACTGACTAGTCAGTAACAACGTAGAACTTCATACGTACGGACATCAGTTCGAGTTGCCACACCACATTAACACAGAGATACAATTGTCGATTCAAATCCCATAGTGGAAGAGATAGTAAAAGTATAAGCAGTAATCGAAGACATTAAGGTTTGATGACAGTTAATTATTCGTTTAAATGTTTAAATAGCATTGAAGACAGGAAACGAAATCAAAACAAACTACCCAAATATCATAATATTTGGCATTAATTTGAAGTTAACTGATTCAATCTAATGCATATAGCAATACACGAGTTTACATTTTCATTGTCTTACACTTGATTCATCTTGCTATCTACAGGTTCTGTTTGCTTATGATCATTCATTATTTAAAATTTTTTTAAAATTTACAATCATTCCTGAATTTCAGTTGTAATTCAGCCAAAAATGACTTTTAAAGACAAACACCTACACAGGAATACCTGAAATGTCGGATTATAGAAATAAAATTATCCTATATATAAGGCGAAACATAAAAATATCATGTTCACTGATTCTATAAAAACTGGTTATTTTGGTTACATTTTTATTCTCGATAGTAACTTTACATAGATTTCGAAGATGAAGTATTAGGCCATCTAGATACACAGTATCTCAACAGTAAATTTTATAAAAATTTCTTATTATATAATCGCAAAACATCGGTTCTGAAACTGAACTATAAAGAGACTTATCAAGTGATAACTGGAAAGTATACAAAGATCACATAAGCAATTCAGTATTTTCTGTCTAAAACTACAAAATCAAAAAAGCAAATCTATAAAGTATATATATAGGTGCGGATCGGCAAAGCAAGAGCAGCATATTTACAACTGAAGAACAACTGGAATTCAAAACAACTGTCAACCAACAACAAAGTCAAGATTTTCAATACAAATGTCAAGACAGTTCTAGTGTATGGGGCAGAAACTTGGAGAACTACGAAAGCCATCATCCAGAACATACAGGTGTTTATTAACAGTTGTCTACGCAAAATACTTCAGATCCGTCGGTCGGACACCATTAACAACAACCTACTGTGGGAGAGAACAAACCAGATTCCAGCGGAGGAAGAAATCAGGAAGAAGCGCTGGAAGTGGATAGGACACACATTGAGGAAAGCAATCAACTGCGTCACAAGACAAGCCCTCACATGGAATTCTCAAGGGCAAAGGAAAAGGGAAAGACCAAAGAACACATTACGCCGAGGAATGGAGACAGAAATGAGAAAAATAAACAGAAACTGAATAAAACTTGGGAGGAAGGCCCAGGACAGAGTGGGTTGAAGAATGTTGGTCGGTGGCCTATGCTCCATTAGGAGTTACAGGCGTAAGTAAGTAGATGGAATTTCAACTGTCATTTAGAACGTTAGTACTAAAGATGTAGTATCAAATTCACAAAACTTCGTAGTAAATGAGATTCTACAATTAGACTTTAAAAAGTTTTTGAAACGAGCTTTATGTAATAATTCACTTGGTAAATTTTCCAGAAAGCTGTTTTTTAACTGTTATAACACAATCTGAAATGATCTAGATGTTATCGTGATAAAGTCAATGATTATCACTTGTAAATCTAGATTTCGTCCATTCAGTAAAATCATGAGATCATACATCGACAAAATACTTCATAACAGGAACTGGTTCAGTTAATAGCAGATAATCTATGAAATGAAATAATACTTGAGATCTTTTATTCTATATAAAAGTTAAAATTATCACGCATCTAGTTAAACAGTAAAATGTCAGTTTCGAAAGCATTGTGATAGATCATCTCTTATGTATTTCTTAATGATTCGATTCATTTTAGAAGACACGGTAAGACATTAGGGATGTTGTAAAATGAAGAAGTAAAAAAAGTTCAAAATATTAGTAGTATAAATTGGCCTACAAAGTTTCAGAATGTGAATGAAAATTTTGTAATTCAGATGTTCATTCACAAGTAAGGCAATTGGTGATCAATGCCGACAAGTCCTGAGGTATAAAAAACAGCTGTCCAGAGCTTCATTTGTTATTAGTGTGTGATGAAGACACTATTAAAAATAATCTCTTATTCACAAGCAACTAAACAAGGAGAAATTATTCATGGAAAAAATCACAAACCTGCTATGTAGCATGTAATAATTAGGATAAATTGAAATCATATTCCCTATACCGAATCAATAGCTTAAATAGAACTATTCTAGTTGCTAGACTGCCCACTTAGTAAATAATTGAGGATCCTTTTACAATGCATTCGATGATTTTTCATGGATGTAGATGATTTATGAGCTTACTTTAATTTTGTCTGTTGCCGAATGTTTGAATAGTTTAGTTTGGTTTAAGACACCAAACTGAATAACTCAATTGGTGCTTGCTGTCGGATTAGAGCTTTCCGTTATCAGTAACTTTTAAAGAAAGCTACCGGTTGTTTTTACTTATTACAGAATGGGAAATTAAAATCGTTAGGCAAAATAATCTTCTTATTTCTCTGTAACGGTGTATCATATATTCGGTTTATATAATGACATTGTTAATTAGCGAAAAATGCGTATCCAGACACCATACGATTTTCTACCTTAACATTACTGAGTACTATCATTACAAGGTCTCCTTTATCTTGCTTCTAATTTATTCCCATTAGTGGAAAAATAAGGCATTTTCAATGTCTTATCAACAATGCCTTCCTTATCAATGCTTTGAAAATATGCTGTTGTATTTTCCCAAACAAATCAATGTTCAACATCATACCTATATTTTGAATTTTTTATAACAATGAGTTTTGTTATCATTGTTGACACTAAAAAACATTCTGCATACAAGGGATCAATAAAACAAATACAAATGAGACAGCAAAGATTAAAATCTCCGAGTTGTAAATGAGGCAATTTTTCATATAAACGATATTCTATGTGAATTTTTATGCGGAGAGAAAAAATCACAATATGTCTGTACGCTCCATAAGTCTGTGAAAAGCTTACTATACTTTAAAGGCGCCCAGTATTGAATAAAATTATTACTTTAAACGAAGCACTTTAAAATGATACTTCGAGAATGTGGTATGTCGACTGATCAGAGCTTAAAAATTTCACAAGACGTTCTTCATTCTTTCGGATGAGGTACTAGAGCATATTATGTTGCATTTTATTTTTCGCGCCTGAATTTTTCAATGTGATGATTACTAGGCAAATGTTCTTAACTTTAAGCAGCTGTTAATGGTATAGCCACGATATGTAATTTGGAAAATAAATCAATTATAATGCGAACCAGTGAAATCTTGGTCAAAATTACTAGACATGATTGTGATTTATTAATATTCCGTCTTATTTTTATACTTTTTGTCCACAGTTTCTGCTTCGTATGAAAAATCATTTCTCTCGTCAAACCGAACACACACAAACTCACGTCGATCCCTCAATGCTCTCTTCAAACCGAACTTTTAACAGGTGAGTTATACTACTTTAACAGTGTAAGTAGGTAAAACAGATGCGTTTTCTAATATTATAATACTTACTTAAGTAAATTAACTACAAACAAATAAAAATTATGTAATATCAAATTATTTGTTTCCGCCTTTTGTTTTGAGTCGCCGGTCCCCATGTCTCAGTTTTGCGTCTTAAACTTTCCACTTTATACTCTAGAACGTGTGAGGTGACTGGATTTCACCACTGCGACCAAGGATGCATAGTAATCTCAGCATCAATTACATAGATCCAAATAGTAACTGGATTTACTGAGTTTTTCAACTTGTTTTTCGCAAATTATACAATTATAGTTCAGTATCTGATGTTATCCACTAGTTTTTGAATTCACTATTAGTTAAACTGTTCATCTGAGGAACAGTTTCCAAAAGTCTTTGAGAATGAAAATGCACCGAACATTTGTTGTATATTTGACTTATTATGATTGTTAACACTTTAAATCCATCTAATATTACACTTTTTCCCCTCTGTATTTGAGCTTTTGTCAATTCCCCATCTTCATATGCATTTATATCAAACACATACTTTGAATATAATCAGCGTTATTAAATCTCAACTTGTTCATTATGAGATATTGAGGCCATAAGGTTAAGGCCAGAAATTTTCTGGAGTGCATAGTATCAACGTTTTTTCAATCTAAAAAATCCATGACGAAGATGAAATATTTCATGAATAGTTTACTGTGCAATATTTTAATTTAAAACTGTTAGACGTGATCTTTGAAGATAGAGGATGATGTTACACATATGTTACATAGGACTTACACAGCACCATCTTAAAAGGACAAAGTAAGTGATTTCGGGATCGAGTTTAGAAATGTGAACTATCCAGGTTATAAACGTACACACTCTCAGACACTACCTATCATATTATGGTTGAAGAAGTAGGACAGAATGAGAGCTTGCAACACTGGGTTGAAATTTGTACGGCAGTAAAAGCTATTTAATTGTTGAAATTACTGACTATTGTAAAATTAATCTGCTGTTTAAAGGTTGCATATACTTGCTCGGACTTTGGAGGCCAAAATTAAATACTATTGTAAAATTATGAGAGTAATAAGATACAATTGTGTTTTAGTCTAATGAAGCTAACCAATCATATAGAGATAAATACCATTAAATAGGTGGTTTGGTTTCCTTTCAATAAAGATAATGAACTAAATCGAAACTTAATAATTTCAATCAGTTGTGTTTTTTATATCTAGAAAAAATGAGAAAGTGTTGTGGAGCTTATCTTTAATATATTCCACCTAGTGACTATTTTATACCCTAACTGAATAATTATTCGATAACAGAAACATACATCTAAGTGCAATGAAACATTGTTTTTGGATATAATCGATATAGAAGATTACTGACCGTCCTACTTTTTAGTATATTAATTATTCAACTGTACCATTTAGTCGTGATATTAATTTAAGTGAAATTGAATTTTTATGAACAGTAAACATCGTAAACTCTTTTCCCACTAGTCATAATTTGTATCTAATAGCCACGATTCAGTCATGAAAATACTTGAGACTGTATATGAATTTCTCGGTGTTCTTTTTCTATAATGTATTATAATTAAAACTTAATAATTGATGAATAAGCAATACTTTTCAATCAATTCATCCTGATGGTGTTTCTGGGAGCACTAGAAAATTTTAAAATTACCCCACACAAAATTTCCGTTTAGTCGTGCACTTTAAGAAAAAATAATGACAAGATCAATGAAGTTATTTTGTTGTTTTACCAGTTAGAATATTTTTTATTTTATTGTTTTATAGTTCTTTGAGTCAGAGATGAATATATCGTAGTACCTAAGATATATGGAGTGCGAGTTCACTCATAAATATACATAATAGGAGTAAAACAGTTCATATATATTTCGAGGTGACATGACACTTCACAGCAACTCTCATATCTAAACAAGAGACACTAACAGTTTTGAAGGAATCTGCCAATCAATATAGTCGCTAGATTTTAGTACTCCATAACGACTTTTAAAAACTTCCTAAGACTTTTCAATATTTGGACTAAAATTTAATTTGCTTACTATCCTATCTTTTTTTAAATTGAAGCAGCTAACCATAATCTTCAGATTTGATTAAAAAGCATTCAAGATGACAATAGTCCAAACAAAAATATTAAACATGAATGAATTCCATTCTTCATTGAAAGCAAATAAGTCTCATAAACCGAAAATATTTGCACTTAAAACCTCTGCCTTTTAAGATAAATTTGCGAACAATTATTTTCACTTTTGAAATTCAAAAGTAGAATTAGTAGGTGGAAATCTCGATTGAATATTGCTCTTCCTGGCAAGACAAGTTAATTGCAAGTATAATGAATTGTTGAAAATCTTGGTTAAATTACATTGTCCTCTTTAATAAATTTACTTATGGTAACTATGCAAATAGATGTCAGTCTCACTAATAAATAGCGTATATTATTCACATGACATGATATCTAGATTCATGCAACCTCTATCAAACTGTTCGTTCATTCTTTATTTAGGGTATTTTAAATCTTGGCATTTTTTGTTTTAAAAAAGTTATTTTCCCATCTTACATACATGATTGATTACAGATAGAAATGTCGGTTGTTTGTAATTAGTTTTATTATTTTTTTATTATCTTGTTCAAGTTTCATTAACACTTTGATGTATAAATATTATCATTGTTTACTAGATTGAATTTGGTTCTATCTATATGAAGTATAATTTTAAATGTCAATCATATCTCTTATATAATAAATAGAATAAGTTTATAGTCAACAATTTTTTTAAAAATCTAAATTAATAATTCGATATCACTTTTAGCTGAAGTGAGAAATAAATGTAAATTTGAGAGATTCCAAATACGTGTTGGGATATTATTATGTTTACTATATGGCAACAATTCTCAAGAAACCTTGATACCAGAATACAACATGTTTCTTCTCAACTTCGAGTACCTCATATAACGATCTTTTATGGAAGATATATTTGGTAGACAACCGAAAAATTTTGATTTACATTCAGGTTAACTTGGTTATATACGAATTAAATTCAATGATCGTAATTCATAGAATTTTCCGATTATCACTTGAGTGCATGATCATGATCACTTAATCAATATAATTGAAAAAGTAATGTAATCCAGTGAACAGAATCCGTACGGAATTAATTCATGTAGCGAATATGCATTAAAATTAAACTGAATGAAAATAACCTTAAATCAATAGGGTAGTTAATTTCTTCATTATTAATTATATTTGAAGGATTTTACATTCTCTATTCATCAACAGATGGAATGTAAAAGTAAATACTCTCTCTGGTTGAAACGCGATTGCCAAAAGTGAAGAAAGCAAATTGAAATGATAAACTGAATAATTTTATCAGGTTTATTAAAAGGATAAAAATCATTAATAATATTATGATATTCTCTCATTAATGATTTAGATTCTAACTCCATGACTAAATAAATAAATACTTCTTGTGTGAGTATTTATGCGAATAATATGAGAATATATGTGACTATTAGTCTTTTAGATAGATGATCCATATATTTAACCAGTAATTCGATTTATTAGTACAAAACCTTAAGATGGCATTGGTAATTTAGGTTATATAGATAGTCATATGTAACTCATCTTTATTGTTCGCAGAAGCATTTGATGTACAGGATAGTATAAATTTTAAATACAATCTACACACCATGCTACTTATATCTATAAATAAGTAGTGTAAAACATAAAATAGCTAATTTCCTGATTTTTTTTAAAAAAATATTTCATGTATTTCAGTTTTATTAGAGAAGATCAAATAAACGGTAATTTTATGGATTCATATACTGAAATACCGAAAGTACAAACATTCTCATCATCTCCATCAATTTCAGTTAAATGTATTCATTTATTAAATGGGAAAAATATGTCAAGTGACAATATTAATCAAAATGATATGAATCATCTAAGAAGTATACACAGAAGACAGCGAAAAATTAAGAGACGACAAAGTCTAAAATCATTTATTCACTATTCACCTCAAAAGCTTAACAGAAATAATAATTATATATCGAATCATTTTGATACATTTAAACGAAGTTTAAGTTTTCAACAAATTAAATCAAATAATAAAAATAATAATCCTAAATCAACATTCATTTCAACTGATTCATTATTGTCATCTTCATCATCAGTGAATTCCAATGGAAATGTTGAACATTCTAAGAATAAATTGAAACAAAATTCAATATTCATGATGGAATCACAATTTCAACAAGTATCTCATATTTCATCAGATAATATTTATTTACCGTTTAGTAATGATAATAAAAATCCTAATAATACATCCATACAAACGGAAGATAATAAAACGTAAGTAGTTTAGTTCAATTAATGAGATGTTCTAATTTATATGAGTTATATCAAATTGAAATTTTACTTGATGTAGTGCTGTTGTATTCTCGAATGCTGTAATTAGGTATTTCTTTATGTATTATGAATACAGAATATTGCTTATCAATGAATAAACAAGTTAAATACAAAAATACTAGTCAAATAGTACTACTCAAAATGTTATTGATTGAAATTTTTAGAATAGGTTATACAGTTCAATAATTATTGATACTTTATAAGTAATGATGAGTAGTGGTAAGCAGTAAAATCCAGGACGCGCGTTTCGTCATATTTGGGACTCGTCGGCTGGAGAAACCCGCATCTCAGAGTTCGTGTTCACTATGGGCCTCGAACCCAGTACCGTTCGCTTCAAAAACCATCACGTTATTTGTTATATCCTAGTAAAGATCAAATTACGAGTAATTTCTGAGAACTATTAATGGACTATATATATACATATATATATTCCGAGAGACAAACGGTAACTTTACGTTTTGGATTATGACATTCACGAGAGTGATATTCAACGTAACTGAACAATTTTACAAAAATCATAGTTTTTCAAGTAAATATAGAGTATAGGGACAAAATTTCAAAAACCATAACATTATTTACAGCTAGTTCGCAGACAACCGCATAACACCAATTGTAAATGGATAACTCAGGTAAAGCAAAACAATATTGTTGTAAAGTTTGAACAGGTTTTACATGACTAGTGAATCTAATAACGTCTTATACAGGTTACCGTGTATATAAATCGTGTAATACAACAACATATAAATTCATTCTTATGGATACAGATGGTTTGAATTCACGACCAATAATAGGAACTGAGCAGTATAACTATTCAGTAACTAGATTGTCTACATTTATATTCATATTATTATAAGCTTCATTTTAACTTACAAATTATTATTATACGACTTACTGTTCCTAAATTATGTTCAGTCTATTAACTACCATCTTCCACGTTCACAGTCTCTTTTTGGCTTGTTCTTGTATAAATGTTATTTCCTATTTTATGGTGTGATGCGGTCTGTTTGGCAAGTATGTTTGAAATAATCGATTCGCTTAGTGGAAGCTGTTATTGTTGTTCTTGATTCAACTGGACGGGCTAGGCGAACAAAGGACCAATAAGGACGCTAAGCTGTTCATACCAATCGAACGTCATTGGTTTATCACAATACTAAGATTGAATAAGTCGTATTTCGATTGACGAATAAATCACGTGAAAACTAGCAGGGCTCAAAGTCATAACATTATCCACTTAGCTATTGAGTCCAGATGGCCACGTGCTTGTGCAATGGGGTGGTGTTTGAAGCAAAATGTGCTGGGTTCGAGTCCCATAGTGAACATAAACTCTGAGATGTAGGTATATCCAACCGACGAATCCCAAATAGGACTAAACATACGTTCCAGATTCTACTGCTATCCACTATCCATCTTTGCTTATGAAGCTTGTGATCTAAGGCAATATCGAGGCAGCCTGCGCAGGATGCACATTTGCCAATTATAATCCTAAACAATAATCGGAAGATATAAGTAAACAGCCTCAAGTGGATTATTGATACTGTCTATACTCTTGATCATTAAAGAGTTTTTTAGATTCCTTTTATATATCTGAACTGACCAGATAACTGTTTCAATCTCTATGAGGCATGATAGTATTTAGAAGTAATAAATTTAATTCTGTACGGTTAATAATAATTGTAGCCAAACTGATAACTTCTGAAATGAATTAAATTTCTTTATGATTAGTTTTGTCGTCTTAACATTTTATGTATGGCAACTAGACAAAAATAGAGAGATATTCCTAGTAATGCCTAGCGAGTTTTGATATGAGCTAGCAATTCTGAGTTTCGGCATAGGGAAATTGCGAAAAGATAGAAAATTGGTCGATCAAGTTTTGAATCTTCATCGAGTGGTGTGATTGGGTATGTGTTATGTATGCCTAACCATTGCTTACCCAGGCAGGGTAAGCTTGGTAATGCCAATGCAAAACCTGTCATCAATCTATGAAGTCATTGATTGATGATCTTTGCACAGTAGGTAGTTCCAGACCATCAAGTTAGTGGACACACAACCGTCACGATCTATCAATGCAGATCACTGAGTGATGTAGCCAAGAATTAGTCAAAGTGAAGCAGATATATTGACGTTTTATTTTACTCCAAATCTTGAATCTCGCTATTCCTTCATACAAATCATTCATCTTGTTATTTCGTACCATGTTCTCAATGTTTGGCCTTTCTCATAATCGTTGCTACTACATTATTTCCACTAGTTTGTCATTTGTGTTGTTAGATTTATCTGGTTGTGCTAATGTATTATAGGAACTTGCACCCAGATACATTTGTTCCATGATTTATGTCTATTATGACTGGCTGATGATTTATGGATTATGTTTTGTGAGAAAGATTGTGTTCAAGTACAAAGGATTACCTATTCAGTAATAAAAATCTTTAATTAAACGTATTATATGTTATTTTAACCCACTAGTGGTTATTTAATGTATTCATCGATTCAGGAAAATGTATGAAAATAATAGCCATCTTATAATACATTATTTTATTCTTCATTTTGTTTTTGAGTATTGAATTTTACGAAATTTTTTTATCCCTTTTCAGCTTTTACAATCCCAATAGGGATATTTCACTTCAGAACTGTTTAATTACAAGAAATTCTCTGTTTCCGAGTACTTCATCATTACAATATACTGACTTTAAGTATAATAACAGTAAATGTGATCTTAGTTCAACACTTGTATATTCTCTTGCTCAACCTGGTCAAATCAATGTTAGCACAATACATCAAAGTTTAACTGGTGGTCGTCCATTTTGTTTTGTTTTTACTGGACCACTTGTACAAATGCCTTCTATAGAAAAAAATGTATGCTTAGAAGATAAAACTTTATTCACTCATATATTTGCTACAGAGAGTTGGGAATCACGTGCTCGATGGATAAAAAGGTAAACTTTAGTTTTATAAAAAGAAAAATGTTATATTTTTGGCATGTTTGTTAACTAATAATCTTGCTGTCATATGTGGATATGTAGTTAAAAATCATTCAGTTAAATTATTCGACTTAAATAGTCAACTAAATGCAAAAATGTATTCAATTGTGTAAACATCAACATTTCCCACACACCTTTACTACACAGATTATCTCAACCAATAATATTTGTATGTAGAGACTAAAGTTATTTGGTTGACTGAACTGTCATTATATGATTGGTTAAATTTTTTAAGTTGGTTAATAATCAGGCTGATTTAATCCGACAATTTATGTGAAATATCATATGGACAAGACACGTGTTTACTATTACAGTGACGATGAATTTACTCTTATACATGTATCGAAGCATTTCTTATATGTATTAAGGAATTTCTATTCATAACCTGGAGATGACCACTGTAATAAATGATCAGTTGAATGACATGAAATCTAGCGATTTTTTATTTAAACAAACATTTACACTGGAATCAAATTCAAAACCAAAACCAAATCCTATGAGCCTCAGCACCAATGATATTTTCGATATGGAACCTTACAAGGATAAATGTGATAAAAATACTTGTGGAGTAGTTTATTCTTCTCTTATCACTATGTCATCATATGATAGTTGTCGTGTATTAAATGAACTTGAATATGGAAGTCGGTCTTTACCGTCAGCTAATTCTCGTTCATATACTAGACAATTAATTGACTTTTTTCCAGTTTTTTGGGGAAAAAGAAAAGCTGTTAGTTATTTTCAGAAAACATCATCTTCGATTACACTCACGGAGGTATCACGGAAACACTATAATGATTTATGGGTTGGTTCATTAAAGTAAGAAATATTTTAAACATTATTTAGAAAATCCTGATTTCGATCATGTAAAACTATTTTGAATTGATTAACTTAGTTTAATAGGGTTATTTCACAGTATCCACGTTTGGTGTTATAGTGTTTCGCTTATTATATTTTTATGAACTTATTCAGTTGTTTTGTTCAAGAAAAGGAATGATCGAATTCGACTCCTAAAATGAGTTGATCGACACTTAAAATAGCGTAAAACAATATTTAGTCACTTTAAAACGTTTGATTCAATGTCCAATTTGTATACTATTTGTCACATGACACGTAATTTGTCAACATTTTTAGAGTAAGAGACTATGTTGTAATTTTTTAGTTGCCTTGATAAAATCTATTGTTAGCTCATAATCATAGAATAAACACCTACGTGATTATCCGTCAAGTTGTTAACTTAAATGATGGATATGATTTCATTCGTCATAGTCAAATGGATTAGGTAGAATAATCAGATTAATAAAATAAAGTAGAAAATAATGATCGTAAACATTATTGCTGGGTGTTTTTTTTATTATTGGTTGGTTATCATAAAAAAGACATTTTTTACGTAATATCACCTAGACATTTGAAATTTCCCTATTTTTGATTAAATTCTTCATCAAGAGATCCATAGTGATAACACTAAACCCAGACGTTTTAAAATAAAAGTTTCTTTTACGAAGAGTAATTTCTAGTAGAATCTTCTACACTCTTGTTCTGATCAATTGCATTCCTAAAGATCAATGAGAAGATCTAAAACAGCCTATATATATGCATAGGATAACATTAGTTAAGTAATACGCTTTCTGCAAATGAAGCTTTACATCCAGTATCAAAAACGTTAAATGTACGGCACTATCCATATATATGTGTCATTGTATTGTGAAACATATGTGTCATGTTTTCTATCTTTAATTCGTTATACAACAGCATGACATATTAAGGCTTTATCTAGCTTAATTTTCTTAATAAGCAGGAAATCATCATGTCAAATTAAAAAATGGTGAAGTGTATTTTTGATTTTTATTGTTAGTTGTCAGCTTTCGTTACAAAACAGTTTGGTTCTGTTGTTTGATGAAAGAAATAGGTGTGTAGATAGTGGGACATTTGCAAATCAGACAGGTTCTACATTGGCATTTGTAATCAATTGGTCTTCTTGACAGTTTGAAGATGGAAACTAATAGGCAAAATTTTAATTGTTTAGTGATTCTATTTTACTTGTTATAAATCATATTACTCAATCAGATAAGTTTAATATATTCCATCTGTTTAGTAACGAAAGTGTTAGTATTTAAAATAAATAATAATAATCGATTTGAATTCTGTTGAAATTACGTAAACTTTAAAGATGGTTACATATATTTTAATGATCCATCTGAAAAAGAAGAGGTAAACATGTATCTTAAATATTTGTTTACATGTTTATAAGGAATTTTCTGTTCTGAGTTCTAGTTAGCAAATTGACTAACGAACTATCCTTCAGTTGAATAGTTTAGTCCTTAAATACAGTTTTAAAGAGTTGAAAAATTGCACTATGTTTATATTTCGAATGTCCTAAATTCGTTGAAGAGTTTTCACCGCTGATATCAGCTTTCCTAATGGACTCTTTTTCAGTGCAATTTTTTATAGAATTACTTTCGGATTTTTAAGTTATGGTTGGTATATTTTCTTTAGTTAGATTTATATTTTAGTATTTCTGATATTGAATAAGACAGATGTTATTATGTCGAAATCCATTTTTATTCCTTTTTTTGCTAACTAATGCTGATATTAACATTGTTTCACCTTATTATCAACCAACTTATGTCAATCTCGCTTTGATTGGGGCGTTTCCACCATATGTAATGTTTAAGTAATTCGTTGTAAGGAGTAAACATTGTCTTTCTATTTGAAATATATTTTAGATATAGATATTTAGTATATTATACAAAGATTAATACTGAACAGTAGATATAATTTAAAGTGTTGTATGAACATATAGATTAAGGATTTCATGAGTTCACAACCAATGTGAATCTGCATTTCTTAGCTAACAATTACCGTAAGTTTGGAAGTAAGAGTCATTTAACTGAATAGTTGAAAATGAGACCTAATTACAGGGAAGTGAATGTCTTCCTTTTACAACTTTTATACACTAGACAGTCAAGCAAGAGTTAATTTGTAAGAACAGAGTTTTGTTTCATTTTATTCTATTTGTTTGAAAATTTACTTTTAACCCTAGACCTTAGTGATGTGATACATACATACGATACATAATACTGCTACATTGTTCGATGAAGTAACCAATCGAGAATCGGTTAGGTTAAATTAGGATATTTTTTACAATGATTAGGACAGATGCTTTAAATTACAAGTGAATGTAAGCCTCAATATGCAATGTCAAGTGAATAAAACAAATGAAGCATTGAATTAGTCAATTTGAGATATCCAATTATTCTTTAATTTTATTACCTAATTAAGTTTACTTACTTGAGAATTTAATGATTAGCAAATATCGGAAATTGAACACCGTGTAATGTTACAGGTGATAATCTTATAGGTGGATCTATTGTTTATTCCCTTCAACAGATTTTTGTTATGTTGTTTTTACAATTCTCTCATATTGAATATATGTTTCAGGTTTCATGTTTTAACTAATCAGTTAGACTGTGAATCTATAAATATATCTTGCTGTTAACTTTGACACTACATTTTTATATCACATTTCCATTTACTATTGTGCTTTGTTCCTACGTAGATTGTGTAATTCAAAACTTCAATATTATAGTTTTTTTGATTAATATTAGTAGTAAAGTTACAAACATATCACCAGTAAACTATTTCTTAATATTATTCAAGTCAAATTCGATTGGCGTCAGTTGTTCCTTATATTCACTGGTTTGAATAGTGAGTTGGCATTTAACAAGGTTACTTTCATATCATCCATAATTAATTAACCGACACCATTAATGAAATTTATAGTAAATAGTTTATCTTACAGATTTGTTCATTATTAACTGCGAAAAGCATTTTCTATATGTTTTTCAGATATTGATTTTTAGCTGAATATTATACACACAATTCATTGATCGATCGATTTATTGATAATAACCTATGTCTGTTCTAACTTAAGGTCATCTTTGCTTATAATGCTTGACTGATCAAGTGACATTCAAAACATCAATAGGAAGATTCATACAACCAATACAAATGAATTCTTGAAAATAGTTTAGATGATTCTTTACACACTATTGTGGGATTTTTCCAGATAGGTTTAGAGCAAACAAAATTTATTTGTGTCCAATACTGCTTTGAAAACGTTCGTATTTCGGTGTATTTCAAACATAGAGTAGTGTTTCAAAGGCACATGATCAAAACTCTGCATACTACGCATGTCTTCTGCTTTTTACAGTATAGGGTTGTGGACCACACTTTACAGTCATAGAGTAGTATTGGGAAGACTACTGATATGTTTACTAATTCTTTTTTTAGTAAATGGACATATTGCTTACGTCACAAGTGACTCAGGCTATCAAAGGCCAAGAGAGCTATTTCAATTCATGAATACATTTTGTTAGATATCAACCCATCAGGACTAATGAAGCTGTGGGTATTTCGGAAAGTATATATATATACTATTACAAATAGTCCAAGTCTACTTGATTGAGTTAATAGGGGAGAACATAGAACTTGAGCTAGCTTTACGAGCTCATTGAATGTTTTGTCACCTCTTATGAATAACATTAATGCTTAACTGATTACAAATATTTAAGATTTGTTTAATGCTGTTAAGCATGAAATCGACAACCTTCCTAAAATTCATAAAATCTAATTAGACCGTAGTAGTGTAAAAAAAAATTTCATGAAGCTGTTATCTTGACGTGGATTTGAATGAATGATATCACTTTCATTCTAGGTAGATTACACATAGATGAAATATATGATGCGATACATTTTAAGTCCTAACTAGTAATTTCTAGAATTCTGGGTTTATTTAATTTTAAAATCTGTTTATTTTAGTCTTCTTAATTTAATTTCTACTCCACTTGATCTCTTATAGCTTATGTCTTAAAATAGTTTATTTCTATATATTGACGGTTTGAATTCTGTAACAGTTAAAATTTCTTATTCAAATATATTTCAATTTTGACAGTAAATTATATCAATCAAGATATTGAGTATATCCATTAATGTTTAGTTACTAAATAATATAAATTATCTATAGTAATTCTTGAAATCATTGTACAGAATTTCAAACAATTACCTGTTTCGTTTTCATTCAAGGATTCCTGTTGTGATCATGTTATACGGTCTTCACTCTTGTATATATATATATATATATATATATATATATATATATATATATATATATATATATATATATATATATATATAATAACATTACCCATTCTTTTGGATTCATTACTGTTAAACACATAATCAATTTTTTTCATTCTTAAATCTCGATCAATGACCAAATTGTTCACTGACCTTGAAGTGAAAACTGCACACGGATAATATATTGAAACATGTAGGCACATATGCATCTATATATATGACTACATATGAATATATTTATAGATGAATCCTCAGGTCATTTAAATTATATCCTGTTTGTATGTAGTACATCCATTATTTATTTACTTCGTTAGTGTTGTTGTTAACCGGTAAAAAAGAAACATAAAAAAGTGATAGAAGGGATAGTTCATCTTTCGAAAATTTCATGTTGTTTGTCGTAAACTATTCACATATATATGTTTATCCAAATATTTGTGAATATACAAAACTAGTTGAAATGAATAATAAAATTACATCTAAATTAGTTTGTCGTCGGTACTTTTGAATACTTTGTTTTCTATTGTATCTGTTAGTACTTTTGGTTCTAACAATCTACAGTTTTCCACTTTTTTGGTCATAGGTCATTTTTGTCTCTGAGTATTATTGCATCTAGTTCTTTTTTTTAAAAAAAACCTTTTTAATGACTGGACAGTGCAAAAAAGCGATTCACAATGCCCGGGTTGTCGTTATCTCGTTGAAAGCGGCATACAGTGCGATGAATGCAAAGGCTGGTACCACGAAGTTTGAACGAATTTAACGCCTGCAGCTTTCGAACGGTTCAGTAAAAACGGTTGCGTATGGCTTTGCCAACAGTGCTGTTCGGATGCAAACAGCTTGCTAACCGAGGCCATCTCATTTGTAAATGCTGCAAAAAAATGTTTTGGCAAGCGTGGTTGGGACACATCGGATAGTAATCGCTCTGTCGACACGCAAATTGGTGTGAAGCAAACTCAGGTGAGTTCGAAAACAACTGACTCACACCGACCAAAGGTGGAAAAAGTCTTCAAAGAGGTCTGTCTTAACTGAAAGCTCAAAAAAAGAAGTTTCTTTTCTTTCTCGTCTTCTAAATGGTATCCAGCATTTAACGCCTAGAAGCCGCAGTCTCAAGGCTCGGTCGGTTTCCAGCGGGAAACATAACCTGACCTCCCAAGTCGTCGACAACCCTCCGGAATCATGCAGTATGCTTGACGCGACTGTGGTTGCTTCTCCAAGCAACGTTGACGAAAGGGTACAGGTTGTAAGGAAGAAACGACATAGCGATATAAAAGGTAATCCTTCCCTCGTACAAGTAGTCGAGAAATCAAAGGCTGATCACAGTGACAGATCAGTTACTTTTCATAGAATTAAGGAGAGTGAATGCTCTGAACCAAAAACTTGTTCTGAGCATAACATTGTGCTGATGAAACAGCTACTTAACCAACTCATGCCTCAAAATATCTCCGGGGTCACCTTGCTAAAGTTGTACAGACTAGGTAGTCTAGCGAACTTGAAGCCTAATCAATCCAGACTGCTTAAAGTAGTATTCAAATCTCCGAATGAACGCGACTTAATTTTACAGAATCGACACAAATTAAAGGGCTCAGGAGTTGCCGTTGGCAGACCGTGTAAAAAGACGGGAAGCCGTAAAAGAACTACAACTTAGGTTAGACGCTGGCGAAAAGGACATAAAAATTGTAAATTTCCGGGTTGTAAGGCTTCGACAGAGAACGATGCCGAAGCCACTCTGGGTAAAACATGAAGTCACTTAAATAGGCTTCGGATCTGTTACACTAATACCTGAAGAAAACTCAATAAGCGATCGAAACCTAGTGTACAGATTGACTCTACAAAGCCAGACATAATTGCAGTTACAGAAACCTGGCTGACACAGTCTATAGATAGTATGGAACTTGATTTCGAGGGTTTTACGTTAGTAAGAGCCGACAGAATACAAAAGCTTAAAGAAGGTGGAGTTGCTCTATTCATTAGGAATTCTGTCCCATTTGCTATTATCGACAGTGTATCTCATGAGAGTGGGACGTGTGAATTAGTTAGTCGCCGCTTGAAATTCAGGGGACAAGGGCTGCTGATTAGTTTAGTCTATCACAGTCCAAGCTGTGAGGTAAATGAGGTCCTGCTAAGCAATCTCAATACTTGGTCACAAAGTTGTCGATGTCTAATCCAAGGGGAATTTAATGCACCTATGGTAGACTGGGAAAATCTGCAAACTGAATCGTCAGATAATTCCTTCGAGCAGGAACTAGTTGATGAGGTTATCACATGTGCCGTAGTGCAACATGTGCAAGAAGCGGCTAGGTACGATCCGGACACTGAATCATCCCTACTAGATCTTATTTTGACTCACTACGAGGATGACGTTGCAAACCTCCATTACATGCCACCCCTAGGTAAAAGTGATAACGCAGTTTTAACTTTTGACTTCCATATAACTGTCAATCACGAGAACGCGTTAGCTCAATCCATACCTAACGTCTGGAAAGCAAACATATCAGAGATCATGCACTTAGCATCGTTAGTAGATTGGACAATAGACCCAGAGTCCTCAATTGAAACGGCTTGGGACGCATTTCGAAATTTATACTTAAAAGTTACCGCACCCTACATCCATTGGACTATACCAAGGGGGCCGAGAAACTCCCCACCATGGTTCAGTAGGGAGGTTCGCATCCTTCTCCGTAAGAGAAGAAAAATGTGAGATGGATTTAGGTTACTGAGGACCGATGAGACAAAATCTCAGTATCGAAAAGCTCGGAATACCTATGCCTCGACCCTCCGTAAGTCTAGAAAGTTGTACGAAGAAAAAATTGTTAAGGAATCCATAGAATGTCCTAAACGCTTGTATTCCTATATAAACCAAGGGACAAAAAGAAGAGGAAATACTCCTGCACTATGGGGAGACAGTACTGCCGAATCATTAGTGAAGGAAGACTTTGGTAAGGCTCAAGTGTTCTCGAACTACTTTAGCACCCTTCCGTCAGCGCATACAAATCCCCTCACACATACACTGGAGAGCGTGACCATTAAAGAACTCGACGTCTTTGGTCTACTAAATTAGCTTGACATAGGTAAATCCACGGGGCCCGATGAATTGCATCCTGGGCTACTGAAAGAATTATCTAACTTCGTTGCCAACCCTTTAAGTATATGTTTTAACCTATCCGTAACGCAGGGTCGTTTACCAAAAGACTGGAACAACGCCATAGTAAGTTCTGTCTTCAAAACAGGTACAAAACATAAACCTGAGAATTACCAACCCGTTAGCCTAGCTAATGTAGTTGTTAAAATTTTAGAAAAGATTATTCGGAAGGAGCTGTTTAAGTACCTCGATGAAAACCGGATCCTTTCGGAGGGAATCTTTAGTTACATTCTTCTAAAATTATACGTTTTCTGACATTTATTCCCTGACAGCAAGAGCTATGGTATAGGTTCTGTATGATTTAAATTAGTGGCTAAGTTGTTGGCGAGTGTTCATGTTGAACTAAAACACATCAGGTTCGAACAGAAATTCTTCTGAAAAACAAAACTCCACCTGAGCTGCAAATCTTCACCATCTTAGACCTTATGTTTTGATGTAAATAGTCAGACTCTATCACTAGTGCTTACACAGAAATGAGTTTTTTAAATATATTTTTGAATACGAACTTTTATATCGCTAACTTCTATTTTGATTCTACAATAATCGGAACCTGATTGTTAAAATCAGTCAATCAAGTTTCCCCCCCATACATTCTTAAGCTCTCTGAAAAAAACTTTATATGCATGAAAATAATCTTAATTTGGTACGTTTTATTGATGAGTATTAGTCGTAATATTTCACATGGATATGTTATTTTCTAGTATTTTTCTTATCCGAAATAGTTCGTTTTCCAGACTAATGCTGTATTTGTGTAGCAAATTTCTAATATATCTAGCGGTAATTGAGGAACGATAAATTATGATTTCATTCTCATTTAACATATTTTTTAAATTTTAATTTCAGTCTTCGAAGGACAGCAAAACCCAATTTGGAGAATGAATATCATCTGGAAAATTCCTTGAAATTATCAATTTTAGAAGCAAGAAATATCCCACCAAAGCGCCGGTAAATTGTACACCATTCTTTTGAATTTATTTAACATTCATTAATATGCCAATTATTTATGATGATAATGATTGTTTTATTGTTTAATTGAATAGAAATGTTTTGACTATTTATTGTTGTTACCTTCGGAATTATTTCCTGAAATAAAAATAATTTAAAGTATGAGTAACATTTAGAAAATCAATCGTCAGTATGGTGTATTATCACTCACTTTATTATGTTATCTAACTATTTATATTGAAAAGTTTCTCAGCCAGTCGTTAAGTAGAAGATTAATTATGTTATGTTCTCATGATTCTATGTTTCAGGTAGTTTTTGTTTAGGGAACATCGATAATATGTTATTACTTTTGTAGTGTGTGTCACGTTTTGGGAATTTTAGCAAATAAAAACTTATATGTATCATGGGTTTGCGTAAATTGTTGAAGTTTATAGCTTACATAACTGATTGATCTATGTTAAATAACCATTGAAAACCAGAAAGCAGTATAAAAGTGTAGTACTCCTCAACAGTACATAAATACAATAACACGGGGAATCAAACCTAGGCCATCGTTTGTCCTTTATATTACTAAGTTAGTATCCTAACATTTACATGTCTAACTTCAATCGATTCGCAATTATTTATATACCTTCCATTCACTCTGTCATCTGGCAAAACATTTGATGCTTTAAAGAAGTATGGTCGATAGTTGTATCTATTCTCTTGGTTTAGTTGTCACTAGATAAAAGTCAAAGAAGCTTAATTGCGATCCAAAGGAATTTAGACAGTTTAATTAAAATAATATCCTTTAAACTGAACGATAGAACAGTAAACGAAAAAAAAGCAAGGTTATAGCACAGGGAGGAGCTAACCAGAAACAAGAACGCGAGTTTTCGGTATACGAAGTAGTAGACATATATTTGTATACTTCGCAAGACGTTTAAAGTCATAAAGGAAAATTGCCACACTGTAAAAAGGGTAATGCTTAATGTAAAAAATCTTTACTTTGGTATCCGTCGATTGTATGTAACAGGGAAATCAACTCTATCACTAAATTCCTACCGTAACATGGTGTCACTCTATTTTATGGACAAACTAAATAGATGGTGACTCTTGTATTTATAATGAAAATTCATTGATCTAATTGACTACAAAACACTTTTGCATAACATCGTATGTTAGTTCATGGTGAAAATTACAACCGTGACGAGGAACAATGTGGAGATTTTTAAAAACTTATTGAGTTCCCATTATTAGTCGTGAATTCAAACCATCTGTATCCATAAGAATGAATTTATATGTTGTTGTATTTTTCGATTTACATACACGGTAACCTGTATGAGACGTTACTAGATTCACTAGTCATGTAAAACCTGTTCAAACTTTACAACAATATTGTTTTGCTTTACCTGAGTTATCCATTTACAATCGGTGTTATGCGGTTGTCTGCGAACTAGCTGTAAATAATGTTATGGTTTTTGAAATTTTGTCCCTATACTCTATATTTACTTGAAAAACATATGATTTTTGTAAAATTGTTCAGTTACGTTGAATATCACTCTCCTGAATATCATAATCCGAACCGTAAAGTTACCGTTTGTCTCTCGGACTATATATATATATAATTTATTGGTGATAGGACCTTTAAAACTTCTTCATTCATATTACAAATTTAATCATTGTTAATATTACGAATGACTCACCGGAATAGTAAAACTAAGTTCACCTAATCACATTCATGTTAGTTTGTTTTAATAAGCTTAAATATCCGTTTAAGTTTATTTTTGATGAATATATATCATTTCTATATAATATAATGTCGCAAAATTAACAGGCGTAATACTTTAAAATTATGTTTTTAATAAGTAACGATGGATAGTGGCCAGTAGTGGAATCGAGGACGCGCTCTTCGTCCTATTTGGGACTCATCAGCTGCATGTACCTGCACCTGAGTTAATTTTCACTCCGGGACTCGAGCACAGTACCTTTTGTTTTAAACGCATCGCGTTGTCTACTTAGCTAATGAATCGTGATAGCCATGTGTTTGTGTAATGGGATGAAGTTTAATTCACTTGGTATTGTTTGCTTCTACCTTCTCACTGTTGTTTAGGACTGCACTTGATCAACCTCTTGTTCGAGTCCCGGCGTGAACATCAACTCTAGGATGCTGGTACATCCAGCTGACGAGTCCCAAATAAGACGAAACGCGCGTCCTGGATTCCACTGCTAGCCACTATCCATTCTTGTTTATAAAGGTTGTGACTTAAGGCAATATCGAGGTAGTTTGCACGGGATATACATTTGCCAACAAGAGACTGATCATTTGCAATCTTAAACAACAATGGGAAGATACAAGCAAACAATACCCAGTGAATTATGTTTTTAATAGCTAGGATGTAATAAGAATTGTGGTACTGTTAGAATAATTGTTATATATATATATCTATGATTATACTAGCTTATCTATGTCGGACTGTATACTGAAAGTAAAAAAGCGAAACAGTTGTTTATTCACATTAATTTTACATAATAAGTTAAAAACATTTTCGTAACTTAGTAATTAAAAAAATAATTTATTCATGTATGGTCATTTTAAATATTTAAACTTATCTTTTCTCTCGTCTGATTTTTTTTGTAAAAGAAAGAAAAACAATTTGATTTTCAATTTTGATGTTTAGTTTAACCGAGTGGATTTTCTTTTATTTCCTTAAGTGTTTGCAAGATCATCATTAGTTTCGAATATAGAAAGGTTTCATCATGAGCTGATATTAGTTGGATAAATGCGGGAAGTGGGGAAACGTTGTGTAGTTTCTGACTTATCAGCAAAACTAAATCTCGGTTTCATTTCAGGTTCAATTCGTTGCATTCAGTTCATCATTCGTTAGGGAAAGAATTGATCTTTTCTATTTAGTATATCTTCTTAAAATGAAAGTAGTAATACTGAAAATAATAATAGTAATATTAACCTGTACATGGAATGATATGCACTATTAGCTGTCATCAATGACGGTCACATAGTATCGTTCTTCAAATTGCACATTGCCCGAATGTATGCAATATATTTTAATTCATCTTTTAAGTTGTATTTCTGGCCACAAATAGGATACAGTAACAGATGTATGTCTTATGATCTTTAAGAGTTATTAAGTTGGTGATATGGAGATAAAACTATTATTTCCAGAATTCCGTAGAGTGTTTCCTTCTAAGAAATGAAGCTAAAAAGAGAGGCAAGCAGCAGCTAATTGGTTTTAGTCTATACATTTAAAAACAACATGCAGTATTTCACAAAATATCAATAACGTATGGAATTTATGGTACTAGCAACGATAATAAATTGAGCATAAAGAATATCATTAAAGGTAATTATGAAGTCATATTCTCACAACATTACCTAGAGTTATATTATCTGAAATATCTTATGACGTGTTCAACATTTCTTGAACATCTCTTCATAAATTTCAATAGTCATTGTAGTTATCTATCTTCTATAAGAAACTTTCATGATTGATTTAATACCTTTTGTTTGACACGTTTTTAGGCTGGTTCAAGACTTGGACATATTTCAGATAGTATATCACCTTGATTAAATCAAAGTTTAATGGGTATGGATTGTACGTTTCTGTTTGACATCGCTTTACAATTATAATTAATGACTCACTACTTTCTAAGCGCAACATTGGTCATAATTTACTTCAAATAAACAAGTATAACAGTATAAAGTCATCATTGGTTAAATACCTGTATATTTCATATATTTTTAAAATTCACTGCAATTTCTCATTTATTTAGTTTTTGATGGGTATTAGTGTCCTAGTTACATATTATCCCACCACTTCATAATATAATACAATTACATTGGAATTTAAATAAATAACTACTTTCATTTAGTTGAATCATAACCTATAATTATAATTGATTGATTTTTCATCCAGACATAGATTTGAAGTGTACATATTTGAGGTAAACCATTTTAGACTACATTTTATCCAGTTTACTTTTATAACAGTTTTCTTAAATGCAGGAATTTATGTACTGGAGAAAGGCTAGATGAACGCTAAAATAATAAAAATCAATTCAGTCATTTTTTATTTCACATAGACTAAATAAAGAAATAGTTTACCCACCAACTGTCAATCATTTTTCTTTTAAAAAAGAGGGCTTTACATTTATTTGTAGATGATAAAATATAATCTCAGAATTTCTTATAAGGAGTTTACAAACTTTGTTTCTTTATACTCTCAAAATAATTGTAACACTTAGATCAATAATATTTTAATGTGTATCAAGAAAAATATTTAAACAATTAGGAAAAAATCAAAACTGGCACCACAAGTATTTACACGTAAATTGTTTCAGTTACTGTTTGTGTTAACCATTAGATTTTATGGGTAAAATCATGGACAGATGAGATAGTCAATCACCGATAATATCAGGTGTTTGTGGAATATTGCAAATTTATTATATTTAAACATGAAATCCACTGAGTGTCAGCTCACTGGTTTAAAGGTAAAGGGCTCCATGCAAGATCTTATGGCTCTAGGCTTGATCCTCAAGGGTGTCTTGAACAGTAACCATCGAGGAATCCTACACTAGGATCAGACAGCTGTCCACAGCTTTCTGGTTTTAATGATTGCTTAAATAAGATCAATCCCTAGTGTTAACTATAAAGATGATATATCTTTCTTTTCAGATTCATTTTATTCCCTGAAATTCGCTTCTTTTCGTGGTTGAGGTTGATCTATTCAACACATCCAACTAGTAAACCCTGTATTCTTAAACTAAGTGTTACTAGAAATAAATTATTTGGTCATCATTTTGCTTCTGTCATGTTTCAATTGCATTAAAGACGTTCTTAGATTGTCCGTTAGTCTTCAGGGAATGACATAATACATATTAAAAATCAAACTGAAATCCAACGATAAATAAATTTAGCAAACAAAAAACAACCAATCTTTTATTTTAATGAAGCCTTTTTTATAAATTTGAAGAAACGAATTCATTTTTACTTCATAAAAATAGACTATTTGAGAATTTCAACACAATTTACCTGGTTTCCCAATTATCTAACATTCAAAAAGATTTGTTATGATGTATAGTAATAGTAGAAATGAAGGGATAGGGTAATAGGCAAAGATGGAAAATCGATTGATGAGGCAATGAGTTTTCATCAATTACGGTAGTTGCGTCATGTGTTATGCTCGTCGCCTACCTTGACGCTCTATCTTATCTAGTGTAGGAGTACGTCGGAAGAAAGCTAAGGGTGACAAAACCATGACATGGTATCAATCCATTAAATCACTGGATGGTGAACTGAGTCGTATAATTAGGTGCAGACTACCTCGTTGAGGTTCTTATGATCATAGTAACCAATGGTTAAATACCTTGAGTGGGATGGCCCCAAATCGTTTGTAATGACAAAGGTGGATCCACTTTTTGTACTTAGTTACTATGTTCTACTTTGCGCTTGGCTGACTGATATTTGGTGAAGGTGAAGTAGATAAAGGAGTAATTTTATCATTGAAAAGAAGCTCCTATAGATAATTTACATTTTACAGCGTCATATGGTTTATGATTCAGTTAAACGTGTATTCATCCTTTATTCCTCTCAGTACGACTATGAAAAATTTATGTGTACATAAGGAAGGCTGATAAACGTCGAACATCTACTGGGTTTTAGAGGAATAATCCCGCTAATTGTTGTTTATCATTGCAATTCGTAGGATAGTGATAGACACAGAACATCCGAGTTTTATCAAATTCATTCATTTATTGAAAGTAGTTAACCAAAAATATCCATTCCCATTTTGTTTAACCGTGCACCTTGCTCTGAAACTTTTTAAAGCTCACTTTTGTGATTTACATTTGAAGATTTTGACACTAATACCTTAACTAGGTAAAAACCATCACTGATACTTATGAATTCACATTGTTCTATCCCTAGAATTGATATTATTATAATTTTTATTAGAAATCGTCTCTACGACTTCACAAGTTTAATTCAAATTAGTAATTTTACCAGTACAAAATAGCTGTCCAGCTCTGTCTGGTTTTCAGTGGTTGCCTTGTCAAGATCAGTCTGTCATGTAAACTAAGAAAATCCAATAATCTCCACAAAATTCTTGTACAAATAATAATCATATGCACACTGATGAATAACTTCCAGATCCGATTACTAGAGTTCTATTGAGAAGCTGTGACTCGTGAAATTAAACCATGACTGATGTGAATCAGTTATTCACTTTAAGGAATGAGGGATGGTCGCTCAATATTGAGAACATACTGATTTGTAAATAAAAGTTCAGTAGATTATCTTCTAAAGTTTTATTCTCACTTCTTTATGTCACGTTGAAATAGTAAAATAATTTACTCAACATTAACTTTCATCATAAGAGTTAAATTAATGTAATGTTTCAAAGAGACTTACGCAATATATATCACTAATTCAAAATGGTTGTAAAATTAGTAAACATACGAATTTCTCATCGGATATGCCCGAAGTAGTGTTTCATCTAAAGTACATGTGATAATTTAGGAAAAAATAGTAATTTATATTACTGATAATATTATCAAATCATTCTGATGTTCATATTGAGGTTTCACAGGGTTCAACATTTTTTAAAAATTCCATTCTTGAGGGATTCGGTTTTCTCTGTTTTGCGCTCTTTTCTTGTTTGTGTTAATACAATAACAGTTATTTTCTTTTTCTTTAAGAAAACATTGTCTATCAAAGGTTGACTTTTTCCCATTCATCTATTGCGTTTAGTATGTAATTCATCATCCGAATGAAGATGTACATGTTAGACATCTGAGTTAAGGAGTATTGTCATCTAGAAACACTACAATCAAATATTTGGGCTAAAAATAAACGGAGGGCGTACAAAATAATACAAACGTATAGAGAGTATGCCAGTGAAAATGTATTTGCTCTAGTTTCTGTACCTGTTTCTATTGTGTTTCTAAATGTCGAAAAAACCATGTGTTTACATTTTAAAAAAACTTTCTACTAAGGACTCAACATAGGCATTATATTTCAGTATATGATGTATGATTTCACTATTGTAGTCTATAATTTAATTACTGGTTTTATTTTATATTATAACAAAACGTAATACAGATTTGATTATTTTCTTGAACATCTTTTTTTTCAAAGTTACTACTGTGATATTTGTTTGGATCGAACTTTGTATGCGCGTACTACCAGTAAGACAGCTGTTTCAGGCATATTTTGGGCGGAAGATTTTGATTTAAAGTATGTTATTGATTAATATTGTATATTTATTGTAATCTTATTAATAGTAATGACGTTTCTAGAATAATTACTCTTTTCATTGGTTAAGGTCATCTAGTTATTTTTACTTATTTTGTGAAATCCATCTTCATATCTATCTGATTCATTGTCTGTTATCTGATGTGTAACTCGTTAGGAAACCTTACCGGCTAAATGTTATTCACATAAAATGACAACTGCTATTCTATATCAATATATTCAATCAGATCACAAGTGCTTCTGTCTTTTGATAACTAATCGAATATGGGTATCAACCCAGCTTGTTTTCGAAATGGGATTTTAAGATAACAGTGCACAGTTCAAATATATATGTTGGGTGTCAATCTCGTGCTTTGTGATTTGAAAGAAAATGTAGAAATAACGTAATCACATTAAATGAGACTGCTTCAGCGAACCATTTTATAGGATTATAGTGAGGAAATAAGTCAAATATAACGTCAAAATAAACGAGATAATGTTGTTTCGGTGACAACGGTGTAGATAAAAGAAACCCTTAAAAAGTGATTTGTTTTCCGTTCGTTCGAAAGTGAACTAGAAAAACTCGTCGGCCATATAAAAACGTTAAATACATTTTAATTTTATGATGGTGGGAAATGCTTTATTCCAGAATAAGGATTTTCAAGGTGTTTGTTCTCTAACCAGTCTGGTTCGATCGTGAAGCTTTGATTGTCTTTCTCGAAAAGTGCATTTTAGAATTTCAAAAACTGTGGTAAAGAAGTAAAATTATCTTAATTTTTTAAAAGTTAAAACTAAACGTTTTCATTATCTATTCTCACACTAGTTAACAATATTCAAGCATTTCTAAGAGTCACTATCCAATTCCTCCAAGTTCGTCCCTATATTTTGTCATGCCACTAAGTTTTCGTAAAACTTTAAGTGGAAGATCTATTTTGTATTTCGCGTCTAAACTGTTGATTCAATCATCTCTGTCACTGAAATATTTACACAAATCGATTGTTTCGTTACAATAATCTAATGTTAAATTTGAGTCAACTGAACTATATTTCGATGCGAAACCAATAAATCTAATGCTAACTGGTCACTAGTTATTTATTCTTTATCTAATTAAATAACTGTAGTCTTTATACATTTTACTTAACTTGCTTCATAAGTCAAAGATGATTACTTAAATTTGGCACAGTGTTAATAAAAATCTTTAAAATCGATTGGACATCTGTTTTACATTAATGTTATGGGTCCACTCATGTTATAACTTAACCATTTAATTTTAGTAATCTTCCAAATGTTTCTGTAATGACAATCAGTTTATATCGAGAAGGTGGGTCAACCAGTAGAGATTCAAGACGGATTGGGGCGTCGAGATTAAGCTTGAAAAAGAACAGAAAAACTCAAAATCAATTAATTGGTAAGACGTTTATTTTATTTTTCTATTTATTACGTAAAAAATACTTATAAGCTATCATAGTTAACCGTAGCTTTTCAACTTATTGAAAAAATTACACTCTATATCACCAAGTAACTGAATTCAAGAATGTGAACATCTGGATTAGGACTAGACATGGCTTAATAGTTTACGATGCCTACCATCAGACGTGAAGCTCTCAAGTTTGATTCCATCATAAAAATTACATATTGTCAGAAATTTCTTATGGATCCGTAATAAACATATTGAAGTTGTAAAAATCGTTAAAAGAACACTGAATGACAAATGATACACAATTATAGAATATAACCAAAGTTTAACTGGTCATATGTTCGAATTGTTCAAAGATCATCTTAAATGAAACATTATAAATGACAATCAAAGCAATCTGGACAGGATGTACATTTGCCAACCAAGACTGATCAAATCTTAATCAAAAATATCTACAACAACAAGATAATACAATTGATTTAAAATTGAATTACACATTTATTTACAAATTATTAACACAGAAATAAGATGTCTTATTTAACATTGAGCTCAATGTAATGTTTTTTTTGTAGGCCGAATACTTGCTAATTAAATTATAACCTGATTATCGCATTTAATCCTTACCTACTCTTCTGAACTTTTCCTGGAATCAACTCATCAAATATCATGAATAATTTGTAGTAATGATAAACACTAAAATATTGAGGTAGTGTTCAATATAATATCACAGTAATAATAAGACCAAGTAACTATATTTTCAATGCGGTATGGCAACCTGGACCGATGCACATATGTGCCTGGTCCTACGTTGTAGCTGACTGACTGACTGACTATATTTTCAAAATGATAAATCACTATAAATTAAATCGCTGAGTTATGTTAGTCACTATTATTTATCAAATTTGTTGTCTGTATAGATGAATAAGTTTGTCCTTTTTTATTGATTATTATTATTTTTATTAATAGGTTACATCACAATACCCGTTACCGAAATATCTAGTCGTAGTGACATTCAGACATGGTTAACTTTACAACCTCCCATCGAAAATTCTTCAAGTCAAGACAATTTACTCAGTAGTTTCGATATAACTTACACAGATTCTCAACAATTTGATAAATTAAATTCTGTAAAACTAAATAAGCTCAATTCGTCATCGTTAAACCTATTGCATAATCATTCTTATAATAATGGAATAACAGATCAGACAAATTTTCCACAATTACGTATTCGTGCACGCTATCAATCACTTGGTGTATTACCATTGTGCAATTATTGGCCTTTAAGAACGGTTAGTCTTTATTTGTTCTGATTTATTTCAATGTTTTGAAATACTAATTTTTCTGACAAAAACAGAAATTCGTGTTGAAAGAAATGTTTAAGACTAATCTAAAATATACACATTTAATTTGATCTGTTCATGTCAATTACGATAAATATACCTTTTGACAACTGGTTATTCATCATACCCAGACCTGTAGTTCTATCATTTCCTTTGGGTAAAATACTTGTTTTTGTAATACATAGCACATTTCTGTGATCACTTTATTATACCTTGACTATGATGATGATATTACTCAATTTCAGTAGATTTATAATCGACCGTAAAATGAATGATAGAAATCTTGATTATTACAGGCTGACTTTGAATTTTTCTCTGTTCGTTTATGATGAAAAAGCTTACTGTTCAACAGTGGATTACGACACTTCAACAGCACAAATATATTATCAGTATCATTGATGGACAATAGAAATTTATTTAGTCATAATGTAGGGAAGTATATCTTGTAAGCACGTATTTACAATTTCAATGAGTTACCTTTTTAAATATAGAGTAAGAAAACGTAGATTCGTTATATTGTGAAGCCAAAAATAGAAGTGAATATTTAAGAGACTTTCGAAAAACAATCGCTTATTACGTTTTGTCACTTTCTTATTTTAATTACTAAACTATACTAGCTATAGACAAAAACCTGACAGCCTTGAATCTGTTCAAACTAATTACCTCAACCAATAAAATGTTTCCGAATGTACGAAATAGTTTTTTGGTTCAAATTACTTTAAAAAATTGTCTGGTAACCGAGATTATACTGTATGGTATATACTTACAGTAAGTAAAAAAGTATTGTTTATCTTATTCTATGAATGTTGTATTATTTTTATTTTATTTTTCAAATCCTTCATTCATTTCAGCTTGTACTAAATAATAGTTTATTGTTAACGAATTGGTTAGAATCGTTATTAATATCTGTTAAACTCAAAGAAGAATTAGCAAATTCACTGGTTTGTTTACATGAAAATAATAACACCCTGATTGAGTTTTTGACCAGTTTAGTTGTTCGAGAAGTTTCTGACTTAGGTAAGTGCCATATATATCTGACTTATATATCTCCCCCTTACGAAATGCATTCATAATGTCATGGTAAATTACAGCATTAAACGCTTGGAAGAGAGACTTTCATGATAACTTCTACATTTAGACTTCATTGATTAAGCTTAGACCCTGAACAAATATCAGTATGATATGACAACCTGAGTTTTATTTAAAGATTAGTATAGATACATAAATTTATTACATTTACATAATTAAAAACAATCTTATAGTTATTATCATTTCTTTAACTCATAATTACATACCAAATTGTTTTGGGCATTTATTAGCTTTGGTAATAGTTTTTAGGAGTAATTATTGAAATTAATCAACAAAACTATGCTGGAACAGTTTATGCATAATAATTGACGACAACAGCTTTTATTAAATTATTCATGTTACATTATTTAATGATCTCCAATTACAGTCTTTTTAAAGCTCACTTTGTATCTTGTAAGTATCTATTGATTAGTAAGCTCTTGTTAAAATTTTATTTACTGTATTTCTAAGAACAAGATTCTATGTATTTTTTCTTGGATATCCTAAAAGTTCCGCTTTCAACGTCATAGATTCAATAATAAACTGTTTTTATTTTGCAAATGTATTATGCAGTCAAATGACTACTCTTCAACCTATTTATTATCAAGGCGTATATATCTAACAGTGAATTACATCGGTTACGTATTATTAAGAGTTACAGTACGAGTTTATATTTTGTAAATGGCATCAATAAAATGTCACATATGAAGCCTTCGAGATGTGGTTATTTAATAAGAGAGTATACAAAACTACCCGAGCCTTGTTGCTACCTTGACGTGGTAGTTTGGCTTGCCTGTCGTGTTAAACCAATCGAGCTATACTGGCTGGAACAATCGTTCCTCAACGTCCTATCATACCAGAGAGGTCGGTTGAAGAACGACAAGACTAAAATCAGCAAACCCAAGGTTCGAAGGCGAAGTTGTACTGCTGACCAGCATAACAGCAGTTCTATTTATACAACTTTTACGTTATATAATGCATAAGCTAGACATAAGGTATTTGTTAGAATTTTTGTATTTCTCTTTTTGTGGACAAATGTTCTATGTATTTGACATTCATTTTACTGGGTAAAGGGAAAGTTGTAAGGAAATTAAGATAATTGCTTAGGATTAGAACGCATTAGTAAATTAAAGGATTTTTGAAGAGGATACGTTATCACTAATTATTTGCTTGAATATAATATGGCCATTAATGTTATTTTACAACTGTTACTGTCGTATTAATTGCAGTCATTTATGGTGATCAATGGCATACTGAATTTACTAACAAATACAATTTTGTGATCCGATTCATTAAATCAACTTTTTGTAGATTAAATATATTGGTTAATGTATATACGACTCCTGTCTAATTAGTTTATACACTTACCTATGAAGGTTTTTTTAAATGAAAATCTGGAAAAGCTTTCAGAGAATTTATGAAATGTAAACAATTCATTTGAAAATAATTCTTTTCAAACTTATTAAGTGTCGTGATGGGGACCATAAAAATCTCAAGAATAAAGCGAAGCAAATAAAATCGTTGACTTTGACTTTTCATATTTTATCATTTCTTATAATTCTCAACTACCAATTCACTGTGTGTACAACTTCTGATAGGCAATATCATCTAGGAATGTCATTTATGTATTTAATTCTGGGAAACTATGAAACAGCAAAGCAGTTATACAACATGATTTCTGAAGACTTCCAATGATGTTTTTTAACAGTGACAACGAAATCACGTAAAAAGTTTTTAATCGAATTCGAAGAGTATCACCAAAAGTTCCAGATTGATATATTGTGAAATAATTATTTTATAACTTAACTTCATGTTCTTATTGGATATAATAGTTCACTACAAATAATTTTAGATTATTTTATTTATTTATTTGAACACATAAATACTGGTGCAAGGGGGCACCGGATACATATGTGCCACACAAATCTCATTTGATTTGTGTGAGGGCTGTGATACTGCCCGGGTGTCCGGACCGAAGCAGGTGGTTTTCTTAGGGGGGCCACACCCGGAGCCTTCGACCTGAAGCTCCGATCCGCGAGGCAATGGAGCATCGTAAGGAGATGCAGTCCCATGGTAGCCGGTGACCAACGATTGGTTCATACGCCATTTGTTCCCCCAGAGTACTGGAGCCGATATGGACTATTGGCATGGAATCTGGGTTTTCCAACTCCCCTAGGTGGACTCTCCACGTCCACCAACCCGGTTAAAGCGCCGGACGTTCGCTTTTCGTCCTCTCAAATTCGTAAACAACACCCCCGTCACGAAAAGGCTTCCCTGGCAGAGGCTATATATGCGTGGCCGTGTGGGAGCATTTCGAGAGAGAGAGCGGACTTTCCCCACTCTCGTCCATTTAGGAGCAATTTTAGATTATATATATATGTTCGATGTGTATGCCATACTTCATGAATTACTAATGTAAACTTTTAGATTTAATCAATGTTTATATTTATGCATATTATCTGATTATCACTTTAATTGTTTGTATGGCGAGACTAATATATATAGACGAACCAATCAGATTTACGTTAACAGGTCTTCAGTTTTGGCGCGAAATTCATTCACCCATTTGGTTAAATAGAGTTTTGACATTATAACTGATGTCAGTTCATGATGAAAACTCTAAATCTAATTCCTAACCTTAACCATCAACTGTAAATCATAATCCTTATTCTTCAAACTGTTTTATAACCGTCATTTAGCCCTAGCAAGTAGGTGAACATTCTCAAGGTTAGTCTAGAGTCGCTTAAAGGTCATCCATAAATTATAGTCTTATCGCTTGTATTTTATACAATTTCATATTTCTATTGTATTTCTTTTGATAAATCGATTTCTTTTTACCGGAAATCTTTTTCTTCTAAATACATGTTATTACATGAAAATAATCTATTTTGATAAATATAGAAGTAAACATAGATATAAAGTAAAAGAAATTAGTCTTTCATTATTAAGATCATAATTCTCCAAATAAATATTCTCATAAATGTATATTTTGTATGTGTGAAATTATTATTTACATTGTAGCTCTTTCTTTTTTTTTCCAAAAAAAGTCTGATTGATTTGAATCGAAGTAATTCACTATAATATTGATTCTATGAATGAACATGTACTTATAAACATTGGGTACTGAAAATACAAAAAAAAAAGAAAATAACATAAGAATCAGTCTTTATGTTTTCATGGTTTTCTTATTATTTATGAAATGAAATAATTAAGCTGAGATTTTAATGATTGAATATTAGAATAAATGATGCGTTCTATTATCATCTCTATATCAGGATACTTTATTGGATACTTATGAAGAACATTGTGAAACAGAGATTATCAATTATGATTTATCAGTTCATAAAGTTATTCTTTGTTAAATCATATTATTCACTACGATCTACTTCTTATGTTACATTTACTTTATTCTAGTTCAAATGATTATTCTCTACCAATTATACTCTTTTGTTTTTCTAAAGTACTATGGTAGCGTTATTGATGTACTTATATAACATTTGTTAAATAACTGGTTGGTTGTGAATAATTTCATACTAATTCTTTTCACTTTTTCGTATTAAAAAGGGTTTAAAGCTATGGGTTATGATCTAAATAAACATAATAAAGATAAAATTCCATTTAATAGTGGCTAATAAGGGGGAATTGGAATGTCACATTTTCTTGAATTTAAAATGACATTACTTTGTGTACCAACACTCTCATGAGTGTTGTTTTTCCTAATAAAAACTAATTTCAGATTAAAATAATCTATTCCACTTAAATATCTCTTATTCAATGGATACCAAATAGTTGGTTACTGATTTTGGTAAAAAAAAATTTGGTGACTCGACTAACCACTATAGGCTTTGTTTCTTAATTTACAAGTTTCTTTCTTATGATACCATATAATGATTATAATAATGTTTATTAATCGTCTCTCTATTTTATGAAACTTCATTATTGAACCTTCAGTGGTCATTTTTTGCACTGATTTGCATTAAAATGCGATGTGATCTTTACTCTACCCCCTATATTCGTTTGTTCAGATATAATTTCAGTATTTTCTTAATAATAAACTCAGAATAAGAATTATCACATTCACTTCTTACATGTGCGCAAGTTCTCAAGGAATGATGACTTTTCAAAACCTTATAATTAATAACTTGTTACTAAAGTTAACTTGCTCATTTTAAAATAATCTCTAGGATGGTTCAGTTCTGTAACTATCTACATAGTCTAAACAAACATAAATAACACCAGATCAATATTTAATTAATTCGTTTCATAATATAAATAAATATGACACTAATTTTCTAATATTTTTATTTTCCAAACTACAGAAACTAAATCATTTTAGAAGTTCAAAACTCATAACCACATAATATATCATATTAGACATATTATTAATAAAGCACACAAATAAATCTTATTATAGTTGAATGCATGTATCAATTGATGCTAGACAACCATAGAAAACCTGGAAGCACTTGACGGTTATTTCGTCCCGGTATGAGACTAAAATCCCCACAAAACCACTTCTGATAAATCTTATTAGTTTATAAAGGAAAATCTACCAAGTTGATTGGTCATTCTTAAACACAAATTAAATAAACATTTTGATATATATATAAATAATAGATTTGCAATATCTCAATGAGTAAAAAAGAACAAGTTTCTAAATTTTCTGGTGTTTCACAACTCTGTCTAAGCCACTTCTTCAGAGAATAAATAACCACATGAAATTAACCCAAGTTTAACTAGTACAAGGAAACAAAGCAAGATTATTGGGTGCGATCAATCAAAAACAGGTCTGGCCAAGTCACTGTCATTCCGGTCAAGGTGATTTATATGAGGCATGTTTGTATATTTGTGTGCAGGTATTGTAAAGGATGAAAAATGTGGCATTTGTGGTGCGAAAGGTTATAGTTGAATTTTTATGTACGATAATAGTGTGAAATGTGAATAGAATCCGAAATGGTAACTCGGATAGATGGTCCAAATCAAATAGATATTGAGGTTATCTTTTCTATTGAGGTCAGTGGGATTGGGCAATATGTGAAGAGATTTAGCTACTCGCTTTTCTTTTTAGTTGGAAAAGCCATTTTGTGTTATTTTGATGATGATGGTGATGACGATGATGATGATGAAGAAGTGGCTTATACTAAGTCACGGAACGTCAGCAAATTTAAAAACCTAATTTTTCTACTCATTGAGACACTACAAACATATTAATTTATTTATAACAATCTACCAAGTCAAACCTTGGCAATGACTCCTATAAACATTTTAATATTTATTATGCCTATACAAGCAAGAAGTGATAATCTTTTTTTACAGTACATTTTCAGAAAGAGTGAAATACTACGGATATAAATATTTATATTCTCGAAATGTCATTACAGGCGCTGAAACAATGTTTCTATTTACCATACAATATCCACATTCACATTAAGCAAATATCTTTTGTCGTATAGAAATTACTTTTATCATAATCTATTGTTTGTTATAGAAAATGAATCAATGGCATTTCGATCAAATACAATGGCAACGAAAGCTGTAGAATGTTATGTAAAATTTGTCGGTTCATCTGTAAGTTCAGTGTTATATTGCAGTAGTCTGCTCTTTTCTGTACCATGTTTTATATATATATATCGATAGTTTGGGGGATGTTAGCGTTTTGTAGGCATTAGTTAGATGTTAATTCTGAGTGTATAATTAATTAATGGGGGTGATTTTATTGCTTAAGTGTTTTTGAATTAGCTTGGGGTGCTTTCTCTCATTGCCAATCCATACCAATTCATAAATTGACTTTCAATGTAACATATCAGCTATTAACACAAACATTTGTAGAGTACTTTGTTGACTACTAGGTGTATAGTTGTAAGATCTGTTCCATTAAAAGCATATGATTAAGCTTAAGGGCTACATCTTGAATAATAGGAACTGAAGGAAGAGGTTGATTTCGAATACAGTGGTCTTGAGTGCTGTTAGAGGTATGAGGGCGGTTATCACTTCCCGGTTGTCCACATAGTGGGAGGGTTCTTCTGGAGGTACCTGTAAAGGAAATTGGGTTACTGTTGTAACACCTCTGTACAGTCAGCAGTACGACTTCGCCTTCGAACGTTGGGTTTGTTGCTTTTAGTCTTATCATTCTTCAACTTGCCTATCTGGCATGGTAGGATCTTGTGCAACGGTTGTTCCAGACAGTATAGCTCCGTTGGTTCATCACGATAGGCAAGCCCAACCACCACATCAAGGTAACAACAATGGCTGCGAAACGTGTCCATTAAGAGTAGAAGATATTCGTAAGCTACTAGTAATTGACCACAGATGCCTTAGAAATATTGCCTGCATCTACTGGGATCATCAGGTAAGTAATACTGAGGTTAGATACAGGCTATTAAGGAATGATGATAAATCAGTTGATGAGATTGTGAATCATCATCGACTGAGATGGTTGAGTCACGTGTTGCCTATGCCTGAACATCGATTACCACGACGCGCAATGCTAACCAGTGTTGTAGATAGTTGGAAGAAAGTTAGAGGCGGCCAAATCAAAACGTGGCATCAGTCCTTGAAGTCACTAACTTCTGGTCTGAGCCATGTTGGTAGATGCAGACTACTTGGTTGGGGTCCACGTGACTATCGTAACTAATCGTTGGAGATTCTTGGTGACATGGCTCAGAATCGATCACAATGGCGTCGGTGTATACACTCTCTGTCTGCCCCTAAACTATGGGATTAAAATCGCTTCCTACCTTTCTTTCTTTGAACTAATTCTTTCTTCCTGTACTATATCTTTACATAAAATCTTTCCTTTATATATTACACCACTGAGTTAAATGCTTCTATAAATCCGGTGTTTGTCTTGCTGTTCTAATGATGTGTGGCAAATTGGACCGATGAATGTATGTGCTTGGTCCTACGTTGTAGCTAACTGACTGACGTAAAGGCTGCAAGGCTACATGCCCCTTTACAAATTGCCAGTGGGTTAATAAATCCGGAATCGTTCAAGTTGTCCTTGCTTCTTTTATTAAGTGGTAATTTAAAATAAACTTTATACTGAAATGTGTTGCACATATTGGGAAATCATTACAAATTGTTCTGTTAAAGACACGGACACCTTAATAAAATGCGCATGGTGTCAACAGAATAAATAACTGGATCCGTTTCTTTATGTTGAATTAGTTGAGTTATCTTAATATCTTATTCTTACGATTTGGTTGCATATTTCCTTAATAACATCTGGTACTGATGTTTTCTATGAAGATTATCGATTCATTATTTTTAGATATACGGTATATTTGAATGAATTAGAAATAATATCTCAGCTGAAAGGGAATGTGTGGTGAAAAGTCATATCAATACTTAAGGATGTAGGTATTAATAAAGCTAACATATAGCGAAATTGATAGAGGAACTTTCTTCAATCCTTGTTTATTGTGTCCATGACCATTTGATGTTTGGCTCAAAAGTCAGTTTTTGAAGTGATTCGTTTTTCTACAAATCTATTTACTCAACCTGTAGTGTTTTATCATATGAATTTATAGTTTGATTCTTGACTTCCCTCATTAGTATAAATGAACACTGTACTTAATAGGAAAACCTAGATCCATGTTTTAAGGTTCTTCGCTAATCCTTATTACTTATTTTATGTAGCTGTAAGTGAGCTTACAAATTTTCCTCCAAGGTTTTACCTCATGTTTTTATGACATTAATTCCATATTTTCAATGCTGGATGATATATTCGACAGTTCCTGGAATTAGAAGGGGAACTGAATATAATAAAATATAAATTATTCCCAATCAGAAAATAATTATAGGAACCAAATTGAATATTATTTTTAATCATCAAACTAATAAATATCTAGACTGTCTGTTAAAAAATAATTCATTCTATATACATTATGGAATGTGGCTAGCAGTGGGACAAAAGATGTACTTGCCGTCCTGTTTGGTACTCTTAAACTGCATTTACCGGTACCTCAAAATTGATGTTCACTCCGAGACTTGAACTCAATACCTTTTGGTTCAAATATTATCGCGCTATCCACGTTAGCCACTCACTTTTGAAACGAGTATGCGTTTTAATTGTATTCGAAATGTAAGCAATGATGGATAGTGGCTAGCAGTGGAATCCAGGACGCACGTTTCGTCCTATTTGGGACTCGTCAGCTGGATGTGCCTACATCTCAGAGTTGATGTTCACTCTGGGACTTGAACCCAGTACCGTTCGCTTCAAACGCCATCGCGTTAGTCACTCAGCTACTGAGTCCTCATAACCACTTGTTTGTGAAATGGGGTGAATTTAAATTCACTTGGTATCGTTTGGATTGTATCTTCCCAATGAGGTTTAAGACTGCAATTGATCAGTCTGCTATTGGCATCCATCATTGCTTGCAAAAAGTTTGTGAATTAAGGCAATATCGAGGCATACGTACAGTATGCACACATACCAATAACAGACTGATCGATTGCAGTCTTAAACCTCAATGGGAAGATACAATCCAAACAATACCAAGTGAATTTGTATTCGAAATTGTTTGAATTATCCCGTTGTTGTTATTTTTGACTAAAATTTGACCAATCTTGATTGGCATATGTACATCCTTTGAGAATTGTCTTAATATAGCCAATGAGATAAGTTGATTCTATTTTGTATCGAGGTAATGCGTGCAAGATGTATATATGGCAAACAAGACTGATCAAATATAAGTCAGATATCGACAATGGGATAATCCGAACCAATTCAAATTCAATTATGTTTTATTCAGTTAGTACAATGCAACATTTTCTATTTAGTTGTTGACCCATTACCTAGTAGCAAGTATTTTTTGGGTAAAAGGTCAAAGTAATCTTTAAAGGTCAAAATTGCAAACAAAGGTCATCTGAACAATAAAATTTCATTCCATTCGGTACAAGTATTCAGACGAGATTGGTTGTGATACACATGAAATCTAGGTGTAATTGTCTATTAAAATATATTCTACTAAGAAAGAGACAGGGAGGAAGAGACTGAAATAGGAATATCAATATTTAGGCAACAAATCCCAATGAATAGTTATCAAATTATCCATAGAAATAGTAGGATTATATAAAAAAGATACTAGGAAAGATAACTATGATTCCTACTGTACTCAGTTTTTTTTTCGCTTCTAAACTGGAGATGACATCCAATCAACCGCCGGATACAATAGCAGTATAAAGTTTATACCAAAACCTTTATTTCACCTTTTGCATGCGGAATTACATTCCCACAAGCATTAGCATAAGAAACCCTTTGTTGAAACATTCAAAGCTTGAAAAGCGATCAGTTGTCCTAGGATAATTCAGAGATTGTTGTTTGTTCAGTGAACAACCCTGAACTTACTGGAACTTGAAATAGCTCAGATATCGGGATATAGGAAATGTAGCAGATCCACACCATTTAAAAAGGATTACAGTTTGTGTAGGAACGTACAAATCAGGAAAGAATACAAAAATAAATAAAACAATTATCAGTAGTAAACAACAGTGATTTACAGTTACAATATTAAAGCCAGATGCACTAAAAAAACAACCGAGCAGTCTATGTTGGCAGATTATTCTCCAGATCTGGGGGTTGTGCGACTGTCAAGTCACTTCACTGAATAAAGCAGACACAGTAAATAACCAATGACACTTGAGTAACTACGGATAAAACAGGGATGGAATCATCCTCAAAGAGCTAGTTTAAATTTTTTTCACCTAATAACTAGGAACAAATAAGGGTTATAAATCAGTGCGAGGAATTGGAATTGTGATCTACGGTTGATGGTTAAAGTCGGAAATTAGATTTAGAGTGTTCGTCACGAACTGACATCAGCTATAACACCAATACGTTATTTAGCCAAATGGATGAATGAGTTTCGTGCCCAAATCCATAACCTGTTATCTTAGAACTGATTGTTTCGTCCGTAAATTATAGTCTTGCCGAATAAATTTTTGATATTTTCATCTTTCAGTACAAATACTTCATTAAAGGGCACTTACACAGAGCTGACGTTTTATATATTTATTAAACAGCATAAAGAGCGTAAAATTTTGTGATATTTTCACGAAGGACAGACAGAGGATGAATTTCTTTAATTCTTCGCTTGGCGAGAGTGATGCAATACATTTTGAATATTTTGAGTTCTATATGTATGTAATTTATTATTTGATTAAGTTTGTATCATTTATAGTCATCAGCGGATTCAATCTTTCATTTTTTTATACTGACAAAGTTTGTTCTCTTCTTGTCAATCTTTAATTTATCTCTAATCCCAGGTATTTTATGAAAGGTTGTTGTTGATTCTACACCGTATTATTTCTCCTGCCTCTATTTCTAAATGTCATTTTTGGTTTATTTACTCTATATAGTTTTCCTTCTTTCCACAAAACATACCTTGGTACTTTAAGTTGTGATCAGATTGTTGATAATTTATAGAAGCGAATTTGTTGGATTGTTTTTTAGAGCGAATTTATCTTTTTATGACATTCCACTGATACTATTTTGTCTTAAAACACAATTGTATGAACGAAGAAAATTCTTTTCAATAATTTCTCATCAGGTTCTACAATTATAAATCCAGATTAATAATCCATAAAATTGGCCAGATTTAAGGCAAAATACATCATCATTTGGAAATTGTAATATGTGAATCAGGAATTATTTGTTATATAAATAAAATCGTTAATATTGGGGCTGACTAGTATGAAGTGTTAACTTGAATAAATATGGTCAACATGGGGTAAGAGAGAGAGAGAGAATATTGTGATTACAAATCGGAAATTACGTAATATGTAAAATAATTAGATCAAATCTAGTAGATTCAGGGATGGATATTGAATAAATTCCTCAAAAAAGGGGTTATCAAGTGTAAAGACAATAGTAGTAATAATAACGGTAATAATAACAGTAATAATAATAATAAGTTTGGGACATAAAGTGAACATTAATCAGATTACGTCATCACATTATAAGATTGATTATTGGCTAGTTGGCCAGGGTAAAAGGAGTGGCTGAACATACTTCTTTTGGATACAAAGCTCTGGCTTTTTGATCCGAATAGCAATTGCTTCAGCTGTCTGTAGGATTTGCAGTCTGACGGAATTAGGTAGACTGCTGTTGACACGATAGATTATTACAAAAGATTGCTCCATGTTTACTATTTTGTCTTACTGTTTGCAGTTCTGAATGAAAAGCACTTTGTGGTTATTATTTGATTTGATTAGGAATTCCACAACTGTATTAAATCCATACTTTATTTTGGGAACAATTGTTTTCTATTTTAATGATGAATCCACATTGACATGATATCCTAGTTGAAAGAATAAGGATTTAATTACAGAGCATTTATTATTATTCTGAACAAGTTCTTCAACACTAGCTTCATATAAATGTGGGTGAGTGATGACGATTTTTTCCATAATGAAAGTGATAGGTGCAAAAATAAACTATCTTGCTCAGAGGACCGTTAAAAAACTAAATTCTCTCTTTCAATTTGTTTTTATTAAATCTTTTTCAGTATCTTCATCATTTATTTCACTTGTTAATACAACGTGTGCTAACATGTTTTACACCTTGGGAAGTTGATCCAGAAAAACTATCTTCAACTCAATGTACTGGTGGTTCACTGAATGCAACTGATACTGCTGCATATGCTTTATCACCCGGAAATATGTTAAAAAACCATCGATCAATAATAACTGGCACTTTAATTGGCAATCAACTAATGCTGTTAAGATATTTTGATGTTGTTTGGCGAGCTATTCAATCCAGTTTGAATTATTTCCCAAGGTAATAATCATTTGTATTGAGTATTTTTTTGTTGGTTTTACTGTCTATATTCAATTTAGTACCTAGACTCTTTGTCTGTTCATCAGATTTAGATAGATTTTAGTGTGACTGAACTCACGGTCAAATTCTGAAATATTGACGCACTTAAAGATCGTTTCAACTATACAGATTTACTTTAGTCTCATTGGGGAAGAAATTTCATATATGTTTAACTGTATAACAGATACCACGAGGATGTGTTATGCTAGTAAACGTACTTCATTAAACTTATTTAATTACGTAAATGTTAACAAACAATTGTCATTTACAGTGATGACGACTATTGGTACTCGCTTTCTATTTGACTGTTACCATTCCTACTCAGTTTTGTCGGATATACTGAAGAATGTAACAATTTGATTAAATCCCGTCAAAATGTGACTTTTGTATTATACCAGAATTAAAGTAGAATTTTTATGAGTGAATTCACTAGTCAATTGAAGCTAGACCACCATGGAAAAACTGGAAGCACTGGAATTGATTGGCATTTCCGACAATATCATTTTCAGTCTTAATATTCTTTAGAATGTGTCCTGCACTTTCAGAAAACTACAATGACTGGAGTGAAACTTTATACACAGTGTTTTCTTTAGTCACAAACATAAAACCTTTCTATTAGTCTCTTCTTTTAAATCAGAGACAGTTGTTGTTGGTCTTACTTTCTTTCTTTCGAATATCTTAAAATTGGTGACGATCTGATCATGGCTATTGAAAAATATAATCTATTCATTGAGTTTTTCTATCATTTGCTTAATTATACTGGTAAGAAAATTAGCCATCATATAAAACACTGTAGTTTTGTAGTAGTTATCGGATGTATGTTTTAAAAAGCTGGTAACGTCAAGAATCTATCAGATTAGTGCAAATACATCGTAGAGGTTAACCCTTAATATAACAATAGAACTTCGTCGCATCGTTGAAGAAGAATTCTTCGTGATTCAGCAAAGAGAGTTTTTCTTTAGACGTTATCATTTACTGAAGCTATGTAATCATATTTATAGTTAATTTTAAAAAATGGTAGTTTACAGTTAACAAATGAGGGGTAGTGTGTCATTTTACAAGTGTTGTATCATAAATTGTCCATACAAAACCAAGTACCCCAAGAACATACAACCAAGTGTTCAGATAACTATTCCTGTACAAGAACTGAGGCCTCTGATTTTTTCTAAATGTTACTTCAGTTGATAAGATGTGAGCAATTTTCCCTGATATGTGCATTTAATTGGAAGAAGACTATGTTATGGTTGTATTGAATTGTATTCAGGCAATTTCTCATCAAGTTGTACCATAATAAATCCATAATTACTGTTACTCGTGTGTGAATGAGTTAATTAAACAGCTAAATTTGTGAACTTTTGCACCAGTTAAGGTTTAAATACAATGAAAGGTCATTTAATAGAAAGGTTAGGAAAATTTATTGTATGGTATCGAGTAACAATCAATTAACTACAATAAATTATGTGAATATAATATATAGTAGGAGAAATACTGTCTGATTGAGATAACAATATTAATAATAATAGTTGTAGTGATATTAGCAATATCATCTTGTGAATACAAAACATAGCGAAATGTAATTCTATGAAAACTTGTATGATAATGTCCATATCGGGGTAAACTGGATAGAGCGCACATATACCAACTTCTACTATTCAGAATTCAGTCAAAACTACCAAAAACGAGATAATCCAAAGCATAACAAATTAAATTGACATGTAATTAAGTTAATTAATTCATATGAACTGAGAAAAACGAATGTATCAGTTAAGAATGAGACGAAAGAGATCAATGCAACATGAAATAGGATAAACAGTAAGGGTAATGATAATACGAACGTTCTACTGAATGACCGAAATATTCCCAATATTAGATGCATCTGAATGCTTAACAACTAGAGGGTCAACTGTAACCTTTAGATCATTAAAGCAACGACAATATATCTTACTGACTGCATATGGCTTACTCAATCCGCCCGAAACCCATATTGCTTGATTTTATGACTTACCGAAGATTCACAAACCAGGGATGACATGACGACTTATTCTCAGTATATTAAACTCACCTTACTACTCAATAGCAAAGTGCTTGGTTAAAATTACTAGCACCACTTCACCATGACTTTGCTAAATACAGTATAAAGAATGTATGTAATAGAGTTGCTGGATTTTTATTGTCATCTTAATTTGCTAACAGAATTTTTGAACTAATAAATATATACTGTTATATTCTGGATATATTTTCTTTCTTATCCAAATCATTCTGTTAAGTGTTAATTATTAATATTATTTAAAGAGAAGACAAAACAATAATAAGTCATTGGGTTGTTTAAAATGTTTATTGTAACAGTGAATGAACAAACACAATCACTGATGTTTATTTGTATATCTAACTGTTTTACATTGTTATATGTGTTGTGGAGTCCTATGTTTAAGTGTGTACGTGTATCACCTGAATGTTATTGATTAAAACTTCTTATGTATAATCTGATTATCGGCTGTACACACTTTCTAGCTTTGATTTATATATTCCTTTGTTTATCAGTCATGTTGTGCATTGTTCTCTCCCATTTTTATACATTCCATCTTCCTCTATACCTTGACTGACTTGTTACCATAACGATAGTAATAAACTTTGAAATAGAAGCGACTAAAAAAGTCGCCATGCAATTAGAATTTCAATCAAATTTTTAGAGTAGATAAGAGGATGCTGATTTAGGATAAATTAATATATGTTAAATCAATATTTCAAATGATAACACATCATAGTGATGCATTCATCAGATAACTACCAATACGCTAACGACTAGACGTTTTGATTAGTAGAACAGATATAATATACGCATTAAATCGATTGAAACGAGCATTTACAGATCAAGTGTAACATAGACAGACATACAAATCAGTACAGAACTTTAGGCAGTACATAACCGATACAGTTTGGTATAGTATATAACAGATACATATAGGAAATCATCCAAAACGAAGGAAATATATAAAAGTGAAAAAGGAGAATGAAATCAATAGATGCATGGAGACGGGTATACAATATTAGGAGGTTTGTGATTTAGAAGGTAAGAAATAAATTTTAGCGCGGCTCCGAAACTGAGCTGATTGTTGTCTAGTTTCGTTAAAAATGTCGTTTTATTAAGCTTCACATGGATTCTCATTAATAGGTATTTATTTGTTATTAGCTCACAAGGTTTAGTCAAAATTGTATTACCTTCTTTGTCTGTACTTCGACGAATCACGGCCAAGAAACAAACAAAGGTGAACTCTGTCTTCAAATGGAGTGCCTTAATCAATGATACTCGATAATTTGTTGTGCTAGCTGCGAGACTCAGTTGCACAGATAGCATACTGGGGCAACGAAGATATTTGAATTAATTATATCAATTCATATTCTTAAAAACGATTATTATCGTATGATCTCTTCACTCAAGTTACACAAACTAAACTATTATCTCGTTTAGCGTTAAGTATACCTTGACGATCGCTCTATCAAACGTAATCATTTTTATATTACAAACAGAACAATAAAATAATTAATAAGGTATCTTTGTGTTCATTTAGTGATTTAGTCATTCTTCACTTGGATGTGTCAAGAAGAGTATTTATGTTAACAATTTATTGAAATCTCTACGGTTATAACAATATAAGAAATTGTGATTAATAGTTTTATTTTATCCATCGACTTCATGTCTTTCCAATAAAGTTATACTTGTACTTAGAAAATGTAATTAGTTAGAAAATAAAGTAGACTTCATTTAAGTATTTAAAACATCAACATACCTTGATGAAGGTATTTATTTATTTTATGTATTCTCTTGTCTCCCAAGAACATTTTGTACATAAATAGTGAATAGCTGACATATTATTCATGACAAATTTAATATTTAACATAAATTGATAGCTATTTACAAGCTCACATACTACAACCGTTTTACGTATATATGCATCTTTAGTGGTTAAAATTATAGAGAGATACTTAACTAATTATTCAAACTTATGTGAATTAAATCACTGATTGCTCTTAGCTAGACCGTCATTGAAAACCTGAAAGCACTGGATGGCCGTGTCATCTCAATATGAGACTCTTAAGCAGTAAGTATATACGATACTTCATACGCCAATCGAACCCAGAAATTTCAGTCTGGCATCGGGATTTCAATGGTGTAGTAGCTAATATCAGTTCGTGTTTTAAACTATGCAATTCTATGGCCTACACAAATATCTCTATATGAATGAAGTAGATTGTGTAAAGGTTAAATTTGATAACAAATAATGGGATGGTATTAAAGTGTGAATCACTATTTCATTGAATAACGATGTATGATGTGTGATTAATTAGAAGCTTTATTCAACGTATTATGTAGTTATATACTTTCGAATCTTTTGCTTGTTTGTTTTGATTGCATAATCTTATTTTAAATTACTGTTTGACTATTTTTACAGTGTACTCATTCGCTTATTCAGTTCATTTCGTGAAGCATTAGAAACAGTTCGTGGATCAGAATTTTGTGATAATTTAATATCTGGTTGTATATTTTTACGACTGATCTGTCCAGCTTTACTTTCACCTTCCTTGTTTGGTTTAATCAGTGCATTTCCCAGTGAACCAGCATGTCAACGTAACCTCACACTGCTAGCTAAATCATTGCAATCATTAGCTAATTTTAGTACATTCGATGATAAAGTAAGTTGTTTTTGTTATTATTATTATATTTGATGAAATGTCTTGATTGAATACGTTTTATACTGAGAAAACATTTTTCGATATTATTAATTTATTTATTGATATTGGAGATGGTTGTGCAACGTCGTGGATTAACAACGTTGGATGCCGGCTCATCGGTCTAGATGTCAAGCGTTCACGTGCGAGTCCTTGGTTTGATCCCTGCTTGTGGAGTCATGAATGCAAAATGCTGAGAATTTCCATACTGAGACGGATTGGACATCCAGTGCTTTCAGGTTTTTAATGGTGGTCCAAAATTGGTTCATGATTTCAATGAAATCCACTAATCTCAACGACAGTTTCTTTTCATTAATTCAAATTAGATATCGATGATTTTCAGTTAAATAATAAAAGCATATTCTACATTATTTTCTTTTACAAGCATTTACCCTAACTACTAATCAAAGACGTATCCATCTACTATTGATAGTGAGCATTCATTTTGTAAAGACGTTCCACTCCATTTTAAAAAAAATCAAAATAGATACTTTCCTTGAAAAATCATGGTAAATTTTCTTAACTAGTGCATGAAATTTGCTACTGATAAGTGTAATTGATTTCCCACATTTCGTTGTGAATCGTTACACTATACAGTCAATTTACCTGCTGTGATTGTACTAAAGAATATGTATCATTTGATTATATACATATTCTATTCTGAGTGTTATATATTCCCAGTAATGTAGATGTGTATATACCAATAACTGAAACCTTATTTATGTGTGTACGTGTATAAAATCCGTGGTTCATCTTTATTCGTTAATTACTTATTTGACAGAACATTTGGTATATAATATGAATACTTAACGTGTCTATAATATAAATCATGATCTTGATCCTTTTACAACTAAGAGAAACATCTTTTGGTATTGTCTTCAATTTTTTTTCTTCTTTTAAAGCATTGTCATTCCAAAATAAATGATTTTCATACTTTGGATTTAAATAAATAATATAATAAAGTGAAGAACTATTTAAAAAGAAGTTATTATCACATATAAACGACAATTTCGTGCTGATTTGAAACTCCCTAGTATAGCGTACACGCATAACATTACAGAATATAATGGTTGAAAACTACTAAATAAGTCCCAAACTTATGTAGGAAGAAAACAGTATATTTTTGTTATATGTGAAAATTATATTTAAAATAATCTGAGCGAGTGAAGATTAAATAATTCCAACGTTTCGTCCAGATAACTTGTCTGGAATTCTTCAGGGTAATAATCAAAATTACAATAATCTTTGATGATTTTCACGTATGATGACTTCTCTATACTCGGCGCCCAATTTCTGTCAAACTATTCGTTCTAATCTTGACGAATATTCGTATATAGTATATTTTCATGTTTATTTAGTTTTGAAATGACCTTCAACTGATGTTATTCTCTGATATAGTTTGAAAATCTACATACAAGATTTTCATCATATATACTTATTCTCCAATAGATGGAAACTTTAATGGAATCATATAAGCATGCTGTATATTCAGATTTTATTCCTTATAATCCATATTAAGCCAATATTTATTTAAATCATACTGCTGTCATATTCAGATATTACTTTCTGTCACGTGAAACGTTGACTTAGTGGCTAAGCCGATGGACTAGATTATAATTTCTAGTCTCCCACATTCCATTTCTCTTTAGACATTCGAGTAGTATCGTAGTAAACGAGAATGTATTTGAATACAAAATTACAAAACATCTTAGTGAAATCTGAGAACCTTACAGTAGATATTTCATTTGCAAAATGTCAGTCAATCGTCTAAGACTTCATTGTTTTTTTCGTTTCTACAACAATTATTCTCTGTTCTCTTTCTCTTGTCTTCGATTTCCTTAACTTTTTGCCTCTAGGCATTTCACGTCCAATTAATGATGCATACTACTTATATCTATCGACATCAGAAGCACATACCACAGTATCCGTGGTCCTCAGACATTATTTATGGTGCGAGTATGTATCCTGTTAAATAAGTTACAAACAAAACTTGTTGAAATAATGTATTCATAACTGAGATTTTTCTTGATATATAAGTTTTACTGAAAAATAATTACTTGGTTAACATTAGAAAGGTATTTATTTATGTCAAAACAAATACAATACTAAGATTTCAGTTAAAGGAAATGGTCTGACGCAATAATAATAACATTCAAAATAAGGAATGAATATTAAAATCTACTTTGATAATCTTATCATTTTGGGTAATTCTAATATCTTATCGACAAATTTATTGTTGTTTTTCCCTGAAGTGTTTGAATTTCTGATTAATAATCTAGTAACTTCAAGTCAATATTTATTTTGGGAACTTCAGGTACATTTCATGAACTAAATAATTATTAACTGTTGCGTTATATGAATAATAAACATTATAGAATGAAATAAACAGATTGAATAATTCATATGAACTACCAAATTCATCTTTACAATAATTGAAGACCAGAACAGTCGTTTTGTTTTAGTATTGGGCCCCTTAGCAACGTTCACTCACAACTTTGAATTGATTTATTGACTCGTTAAACCCTATTGATTGATATGTCAGTTTAAGATTCTAAACTCTTTTTGTGAAAGTGCCTACTGCTCATGCCGTTTCATAGATGATATCTGTCGAACTCTTGATGTGTTTGATGCTAGTCAGTTAAGTCTTTTCATTTGTATGTTGAAAGTAATTCTTACACTTGGTTACTAGTGAACAAATGATTATTGTCGGGAAATGGTGTTTGTAGATATTACTCAATAGTGAAGATAGTTCATATCTATTTTTAGTCGATCCTGAGTCAGTACTCCTGGGGTTTGTTGCTCACTAGTTTTATATCTGTCTAGTTCAAGTCACTCATTGATGCAAGTTGTCTCCGAAATTAAAATAATTCTTCCACTTCACATGTTTTTTGGGTTGATTCTATCATGAATTTTTTTGTGATATCCCAATTAGTAGAAAATAGTATTTGTGACGTCTTATGGCTTAATGTAATCCACTTGTTCAGAATAAATAAATCTTTTGATCATTACATTACATTAAGTCACCCAGTGTCAAAAATACATTTTTCTACTCATTGAGATATTACAAAAAATGTATTCATTATTAACTTTCTGCTCAATGGTTAATTTGTTCAAAACTATCAAGTTCAACTTTGGGCATTGATACATACAATCTTCCTTAAACTTGAATGACTGCTAAAAGTACTCTTAATTATTTGTTCCAATGAAAATAATTGTTTTATACATCCTTCATGAAGATCTCCATGTTATGCATAAAATTAGTATGTTTATAAAAAAAACCTAAAAGTTACAACATTTGGGACTACATTTCTCCACAGTATTTATTACTTTTACTCTACTATGGAAATTGTTTTCTATCTTTGTATAAGTTTTATTCCGACCAATAATTTATGCACAATGTTTATCTAAAACTTTATTAATCAAAATTAATTAAACAAAATGAATCACACTCTTTTGTATGTATTCAAAGAGGTTAGATGCTGGAAATTTGTAGATTATCCTGGTTGAAATCATTCTTTATATCTGTCCACTTATAAAAAGAATTAATGCAAGTCATATTTTAAATTCGATTTCCGTTTCTCCTTCTTATACATTTTATACTAGTTTTTTTTAAAAGAAAAGTTTTCATGTTACCATCTGTCATAGTTGTTTAGTGTAACAATTGAAAGTGATAATAAACAGAGGAGGTTGTGGTTATCTGTCAAGTTTTCAATGTTCAATTAGTGTGTTATGTACAGCTTTTTCAGTCTTTTTTTCGATTGTTTAGTGGATAGGTTTCTCACATTACAATATAATACTCATTCTAGATTTTGTTCCAAGAGTATGAAGTTACTTACAACTGTTCACTATGGATATGTCAGTGTAGCTGACTAAAGCCTGTAGTATGATAAACACAAATACGTTGAAAGTTATCGCAAGAAATGAAATATAAAAAAGAGCATGCTCTATTATGGAGCATTCACCCACTTATTCAGTGAAAAAAAAGATCGAAGCTGTTGTATGAAACACGTTACTTACATATTCAAAATACGTTGAACTTAGAAAAGAACGAGTCGTTTGAAGTATCTCGAATAAAGATAAGTAGAATGTATTTTTTTCTATTGTAAGCAAAGATAGATGGTGGCTAGTAGTGGAATCCAGGAAATAAGTCTCGTCCTACTTCGGACTCATCAGCTGGATGTACATGCATCCTGTTTTTTCTATTGTTTACTAATTACTTTTTCTCTTCATATTTTTTTATTCATTTTTATAGGAACCTTATATGAGATTTTTAAACGGTTATGTTTCTTATCAGTTGTCATTGATGCGAATGTTTATTCGATCAATATCACCATCTTCACTGAACTCACATAACAATGATATGATTCATAATGTTGTTACCGGTTCTGTGACAGTTGACAATAAAATGTTATTATCATCGCCAACAAACAGTTCACATCAGGCAAAAAGATCAACCTTAGTAAAAACACAAAATAATGTCAAAGATACAATTGATGAGAATTGTGAATTGGCAAATCTTCATCTTATATTATCAGATGTGATGTTTTCTGATTCAACAATATCTGCTACAAGTAATGATGATACTTTACTAACGGGAACTGTTAATACCACTACTACTAGTACTACTAGTGCTATTACAAATACTGTACTGTTTGGTAATAACAATTATCTGATAACAGTCAATCCTACTTGTGATACAAATTTTTTATCGAATTCTACAACAGTGCTTGGAAAGAGTGCTACTACTTTCCTTGTAAGTTAAATTACTTTCAATCAACGGTGACTTTATTTTATTGAATATAGTTATATTTTATTTAAGACAGTGAAAATATCTAGTCAAATGGCTCAAACATTATTGTCCGCATTGTTTCAAGAGTCCTAAGTTATTTTGCATCATTTAGAAGATATATTTATTGATTGATTGAAAATTCATTTTTAAGTAACATATGGAATCGTCTCGTTTGTCGTTTATTTAATAATTCACTGTTATTACAATGCACAATCGTTTGAATCATTCTGTTATTGTTGGTGCTGGTCGTTGCATAACTAACAAATTTTAGTGACCAGAATGTATCATATATACATATAACTTAAAAATCTAATGCGAATTTTAGATAATTGTAAGTAATTCATTGTAATTAGTGTATAGTATACTTGGTTTATTCCAAATGCTACGGCTTAAGGTATATTTTACTCTTTAGGTGACAATCACGGATGCTATGTAAAGACGGCGATCTATAAATTAAGCATATGCGTGGATAGTTACTGGATTCGATCTTAGTACTTCCTACATAATGCAAATGCTTACAATGTTTAAAAATATTTCATGTTATTACGCATATAGAGTAGTTTTTAAGAGTATTCTGTATCAGCTACTTTCCTCCCAATAAAAAGTGATCAACTTAGATGATTATATCATAAGATAATGGTCATTTGCTTCAATTAGTACTGTATATCTGGTTACAGTAAATAATTTTCTACTTGAGATTGTGGTGTGTGCTACTTATATCAACATAAGTAGTATATGACACTAGTCAGGAACAGAATGTCTGGCAGCAGAGTGACAAGAGGATCGAACAGTAAGCAATGGAAGGAGAATGCAATTTGTATGAAAATGTAAGAACAATGAAGTCTGAGTCATTTTGAGACAACTGATGGACATTTTGTAAATTAAGCATTTACTATATGGTTGTTAGATTTTATTAGCAACTCCTGCAATTTTGTGTCAAAAACTCCGCCTGGAGTCCCTCCGGGGGCTACTGCCGGCCCCAGGCCCGGATAAAGCAGGAGGGTTGGGCATGTGGTTAGCGACCCCATCCCGTAGAAAACTAACTCGCTAAAAAAACGCTAACCAGAAAAAATTATTCAAACCTTCTAAACTCTGCCCAGGGAGTCAGAATGTCTTCATTTAGAAGAACTATGAGGCCTCATGATGAAAGCCGAATTCCTTCGGAAGTCACGAGGCCGACGCCCTTTCTAACAACTAGAGCAACCATTTATTTAGGTACATGGAATGCTCGTACAATGTGGGACACCGGAAGAGCCTTCCAAATTGCTGCAGAAATGAGAAGATACAACCTAGAGGTACTTGGGATCAGTGAAACACATTGGACGCTAGTTGGACAACAACGACTAACTACAGGTGAACTCCTGTTATACTCCGGCCATGAAGAAGAAAATGCACCACATACACAAGGAGTTGCATTGATGCTGTCCAAACAAGCACAAAATGCGCTTATAGGATGGGAATCTCATGGACCAAGGATCATCAAAGCCTCCTTCAAAACAAAGAAAGAGGGTATTTCAGTGAACATCATCCAATGCTATGCGCCTACCAACGACTACAATGAAGACGCTAAAAATCAATTCTGCAATAGGCTGCAGTCAATCGTCGAGAAGTGCCCAACAAAGGACCTGACTATTCTGATGGGAGATTTCAATGCCAAGGTTGGAGTGGACAATACTGGATATGATGACATCATGGGACGACACGGACTGGGATAAAGAAACGAAAATGGTGAGAGATTTGCGAACTAATGTGCCTTCAATAAACTGGTCATAGGCGGCACCATATTCCCACATAAGCGCATTCAGAAAGCCACATGGACTTCACCGGATCACACTACGCAAAACCAAATCGACCATATCTGCATCAACAAGAAGTTCAGGAGGACGGTGAAGGACGTGAGAATCAAGAGAGGAGGTGATATAGCCTCAGATCATCACTTGCTGGTCGCCAAGATGAAATTGAAACTCAAGAAGTACTGGACAACGGGGAGGACAATATCACAAAAGTTCAATAAGGCCTTTCTTCAGGACACTGGCAAACTCAACAAATTCAAGATAGTCCTCAGCAATAAGTTCCAGGCCTTTCATGATCTACTCAATGGAGAACGAACTACTATGGAGAGCAACTGCAAGGGGATCAAAGAGGCAATCACTTTAACATGTCATGAGGTCCTGGGCCACAAGAAGCACCATCACAAGGAATGGATTACTGTTGATACACCGGATAAGATTCAAGAAAGGAGGAACAAGAAGGCAGCAATCAATACCAGTCGAACAAGAGCAGTAAAAGCCAAGGCACCAGCTGAATACACAGAAGTAAACAAACAAGTGAAGAGGAGCATCAGAACCGACAAACGTAAATATGTGGAACATCTAGCAATGACGGCGGAAAAGGCTGCAAGAGAAGGAAACATGAGACAACTGTATGACACGACAAAGAAACACTCTGGAAATCGCCGCAAACCAGAACGACCAGTAAAAAGCAAGGAAGGCGAGGTAATCACCAATATTGAAGAACAACGAAACAGGTGGGTAGAATACTTCAACGAACTCTTGAATCGACCAGCTCCACTAAACCCACCCAACATCGAAGCAGCACCCACAGACCTCCCAATCAATGTTGGCCCACCATCAATTGAAGAAGTCAGCATGGCCATCAGACAAATTGAGAGTGGCAAAGCAGCAGGGCCAGACAACATTCCAGCGGAGACACTGAAAGCAGACGTAGGGGCAACTGCAAGGATACTCCACATTCTCTTCAATAAGATTTGGGATAAGGAACAATTACCAAACGACTGGAAAGAAGGACTTCTGGTCAAAATACCGAAGAAAGGCGATCTCAGCAACTGTGATAACTACAGAGGCATCACTCTTCTCTCAATACCAGGAAAAGTCTTCAACAGGGTATTGTTAAACAGAATGAAGGACTCCATAGACGCGAAACTTCGTGACCAACAGGCAGGATTCCGTAAGGATCGGTTGTGTACAGACCGAATCGCAACTCTACGGATCATTGTGGAACAATCAATTGAATGAAACTCATCACTCTACATCAACTTCATTGACTACGAAAAGGCATTTGACAGCGTGGACAGAACAACACTATGGAAACTTCTTCGACACTACGGCGTGCCTCAGAAGATAGTCAATATCATACAGAACTCATATGATGGATTACACTGCAAAATCATGCATGGAGGACAGTTGACAAAGTCGTTCGAAGTAAAGACCGGTGTCAGTCAAGGTTGCTTACTCTCATCCTTCCTCTTCCTCCTGGTGATCGACTGGATCATGAAGACATCAACATCTGAAGGGAAACACGGAATACAGTGGACATCTAGGATGCAGTTAGACGATCTAGACTTCGCAGATGATCTGTCCCTTCTATCCCAAACGCAACAACAAATGCAGAAGAAAATAACCAGTGTAGCAGCAGCCTCAGCAGCAGTGGGTCCCACTATACACAAAGGGAAAAGCAGGGTTCTCCGATACAACACAGCATGCACCAACCCAATCACAATTGACGGAGAAGAGTTGGATGATGTAAAAACCTTTACATATTTATGCAACATCGTTGATGAACACGGTGGATCTGATGCAGATGTGAAGGCGCGAATCGGCAAAGCAAGAGCAGCATATTTACGCCTGAAGGACATTTGGAACTCAAAACAACTGTCAACCAACACCATGGTCAAGATTTTCAATACAAATGTCAAGACAATTCTACTGTATGGGACGGAAACCTGGAGAACTACGAAAGCCATCATCCAGAATATACAGGTGTTTATTAACAGTCGTCTACGCAAATTACTTCGGATCAGTTGGCCAGACACTATTAGCAACAACCTACTATGGGAAAGAACAAACCAGATCCCAGCGGTGGAAGAAATCAAGAAGAAGCGCTGGAAGTGGATAGGACACACATTGAGAAAAGCACCCAGCTGCGTCACAAGACAAGCCCTCACATGGAATCTTCAAGGCCAAAGGAGAAGAGGAAGACCAAAGAACACATTACGCCGAGAAATAGAGACAGAAATGAGTAAAATGAACAAGAATTGAATAGAACTTGGAAGGATGGCTCAGGACAGAGTGGGTTGAAGAATTCTGGTCGGTGACCTATGCTCCATTGTGAGTAACAGGAGAAAGTAAGTAAGTAAGTACATTCGATTGTCCTTACTCGTGTTCGTGTTCACTGCAAGCTGATCAATATTCTTACAATAATTCACTATAATATTTGTATTGTTTGTAGTTATTCGTAAAATCTATTCCAATAGTATTTAATTGCTAATCGCCTTCAACACTTTTGACCACTTCCACACTGGATGAATGGTAATACATTCTCCTTTACTCTTTTCAAAGAAGATATGTTAACTGCAATGATGTTTCTGCTTTTATCATCATGATAAGTTGTTGTTTTTTTAACAGAAGTAAACAAGTACAGTTTTTGATTTACATAGATTATTGATTCATTAAGAAAAAAATTATTCGTAACACTAGTTGTGTTGTGTGAAAATAAAAGGCACAAATGTTTGATTAGGTCAATTTCGTATGTGAGCAATTTTTAATACTTTTATTGTTGAATGAAATAGTCTTCTTATTAGAGCATTTTGTAAATTAATATTTACTTTTCAACTTTCTTTCTCCGTTTTGTCTTTTTTTAGAAAACTCTCAATTCTACTGTTATGGCCAGTTTACCAAATGAATTATGCACACTTCCAAAAATACTAGATGATATTTCACGTGCATTACAATGCAGTTCATTAACAAGGTGTTTAAATTATGATAAAAGTGTATATTCTGTAAATAATAATGATACTAATCATAACAGTAACCATTATAATAGTAATAATACAAATAATCTTTTAAATTCCACTTCTACTAATAGATGTCAACAGTCCAACTTTTTAATCTCTTCATCAAATAATATAAAAAATAATGTTGACATTACTGATGTTCATAGCAGTGAACAATCAATCAATTCAATTTATGCTCATCATACAAATTCACAAATGACTACACCATATTATACATTACATTATAATCCAGGTTTTCATAATCCATTATTAATGGATAATCATAAGAATTCAAATGGATTATTAATACCACAATTGAAACAGTCAACATCATTAACTGGTCTACCATCGGATATATCGAGACCAAATCCAAATGATTATGATGAACCATATATAAGTAATGATGAAAGTGATCATGGAATAAATGATGCTGTTAATATTAATCGTTTGGATGATGAAATAATCGACAAGAATAAAATGAAAGATAAAAATAATGACTATGTAAGTGTTATATTGTTGACAAAATCAAACCATATTTTAAAGTTTATCTTGATTGATCAATTCTGCGTTATGTTTAAATTTATTTGTTTAAATTCACCGTTACTTTAATAGGTTGGAGGAAAGTTAAAACTGGTTAAATCAAGAAATAACAGTAATTTCTGAAGTCATAGATTAGTGGTTAGAGCCATGTTGGTGTTTAGATGATGTCATCATTGGTTAGAGAATTTAAGTGACATTAGTAAACGTTGGTTTTGGTGGCACAGTCATGTTGATTCTATGTCCTTCTGTAGTTCATGAATTAATTATCATTTTAAATCTCCTTTCTTCAGTTCCGTTTTCTTTCTTTTTGAATTGTGTCTCTCTTAAATTTTCATGTCTGTTACAGTTAAAAAGAATGGGTAAGCATAAGATTAAGTCAAATGATTTTACAAGACATCGATGGTGATTGCATATACGCCATAGTAGAAATAGATAATGCATATATGAACACCATATAAGTGGAATGAATGAATCTTTAAATGCGTTTCATCATGGAAGATACTACATATCTATCATATAAAGTACTTGAGACAGCTTAAGCACTCTAATCGGACCGAATGTTTGCCATTTATTAACATATATTTTACGGTATAATCATAATCTATGATAAGATGTTTTTAATGAGTTTGATCTAAGGTGGTCATAGTGACCCAGATTTGATCGTCCTTAACTTATCTCTGAACTCCTAAATGTAATATTATCCCATAATTTCATTCCCTTTTTTAAAAACTATGTTCTCCATTTTCATTTTCCACTATTATTATTCAGTTTGTTTATTGCTTATCGTGCTGCTAGTTAGTATAAAGCGAGGAGTTTTAATTCTTATTTTGTGGTTGACTAAATACGTACACAATAAGTACCTACGAGACGCTTATCATTACGCTGAATAACACTACAAAACAAAAATATCTGTAATAATAAGCCTGTTTATTAGAAAAAAAAACAATGATGTTTTTCTCCTATAAACAACAACTTAAGATAAATTATGCTGTTGATAATGAGAATTTGTATTGTAACAGTTGAATTCCCGAGACAATCTAAGCTAGATCACCCTTAAAAACCTGGAAGCACTGTTGGTCTAGCATAGATTGACTCATGAATTCAACTGCTACAGTTTCAGTTATCACTTGAACGTGATTTAGAGGTTTAACTTATAATAATGACTACAGTTTTATGGATAGATATTTTTGAAAAAAAGAATGCCAAACAAGTGTACTACTTTATGATATTCTAGTACCTTTTTACATCCACTAACCTAGTAACTCAATAGAGTAATTCAAATAGGAATACTTGAATACCATTCTGAAAATATAAAAAAAATATTTAAATGAAATGATGCCATAACGACAAAACAATCATATTAAAGATAGATGCAATTGGATTTTTGCATGAAATTTCAAATGCGTAACTGAAAGCTGATATCTTATAGTTTGTTTGCATGTATTTGTGTAGTAATATTTAATAATCTATTCATCATCATCATGAAAAGCTACCCTGTAATCGAATATTGAAACTGTACAACTGACACTTGAATATTCAGGCTGTTTAATTGTTATAAATATATAAACTCTTGTTAATGTGGACTAAAGTGACCAAGTACAGCTTACTGAAATATCTTTTTCGGTGTTGACTAAATCTGAAAACGAGAATTTATGTTTTCATTTAATCTATTCCTTGATACTTTATGAAAATGTAAATTTGAATTTAATTGTCGGATAGGTGTCTCTCAATTTAATATGTAAGTCGTGTTTGCATACCGCTGATGGATCCCAAAGTAGAAATAAATATCTGTCGGTCGATTAATACATAATTTTGAATTACTCTCAAGTGAAGACTCAAAGTGTGATGTAAATAATTACCGATTATATCAAACTGTTTAACTGATGAATTTACCATTTGTTTCAGTCTTTTCAGCATCAATCGTCAATATCAGTTACTAAAATTATGGGACTGGAAAAGTGTAACTATTCAGAGAATCAGAAGAAATATGAACAGAAATCAATTAGTTTAGACAAATTAAACGATTTAGATAATGAACATATCTATGATACTGTACCATTTTCATCCTCATCTTCTCGATCGTCATCATCATCATTGACAAAAATATCGTCTAAGAGTCAGTTAAGTAATTTCAATCAGTCAACATTGAATAATTATGATCACGTAAGTTTAATTCTTCATCAAATGAATGAACTCTATTGAAGAAAACATATAACAAACTTTCATTAATCTTAAACTGAACTACAGTTTCTAATTCTGATTGAGCATCTAAGGCTGACGACGTAATATATACTGAACATTGATTAAAATTTATGCCGATTAGTTAATTTTATGTTATTAAATTAACAGTATGAATTTAATATGAGGCGTTTAATTAGGATTTAGTTTTTTATAGAGAATTTTATCTGATTTTCAAAAATCGAAAAGTTTAAAGCATATTTTCATAATGAATAGGGAGGAAGATCTAGGAATTTGTCTATAGAGAACTAATCTAAACCATTTATCAACAGAAAAGTTATTTTGTTTGAATTTGGCATTACATATATCATCGATTAATTTATATGTGCTGATTCGATGTTGGATAGTTTATTATAGTCCACACTCATTGGATTAGATATCAGGAATTAGCATTTTCAGAAAAATTGATCATTTTATTCTGTTCATTATACAACATTCTGGTTGATGTCTGGAAATAGCTCATTAATTAAACATTATTCTTTGCTTTTGTTTGGGATATCAATACAAACATACAGAATATAACTAAAGTGGTAATAAATACATTAAAAGTATAGTATAAGAAGCTTAAAAAATAGATATCTTTAGTTATACAATGCATCTGAGTAATTTTAAACAAAATGTTTAATAATTTCTTATGACAGCATGATAATAGTAACCGTGATACTGTCATTGCGAAACCGAAAGTTGTGGGTTCGATCTTTTATTGCGAGGTCGTGGATGCACATTGCTGAGGCATTGTACAATAGAATGAAGCAACCGTCCAGTTCTTCAAAGTTTTCAATTGTGATCGTTTCATGATTTCAATGAAGCTCATGATATTGTCCTGTTACTGTTCCATGCAAAAGTGTAATGGTTTAATACTTATTTACTTACTTACGCCTGTTACGCACAATGGAGCATAGGTCACCGACCAGAATTCTCAAACCCACTCTGTCCTGAGCCATCCTTCCAAGTTCTATTCAATTCTTGTTCATTTTACTGATTTCTGTCTTTATTTCTCGGCGTAATGTGTTCTTTGGTCTTCCTCTTCTCCTTTGGCCTTGAAGATTCCATGTGAGGGCTTGTCTTGTGACGCAGCTGCGTGCTTTTCTCAATGTGTGTCCTATCCACTTCCAGCGCTTCTTCTTGATTTCTTCCACCGCTGGGATCTGGTTTGTTCTTTCCCATAGTAGGTTGTTGCTAATAGTGTCTGGCCAACTGATCCGAAGTAATTTGCGTAGACGACTGTTAATAAACACCTGTATATTCTGGATGATGGCTTTCGTAGTTCTCCAGGTTTCCGTCCCATACAGTAGAATTGTCTTGACATTTGTATTGAAAATCTTGACCATGGTGTTGGTTGACAGTTGTTTTGAGTTCCAAATGTCCTTCAGGCGTAAATATGCTGCTCTTGCTTTGCCGACCCGCGCTTTCACATCTGCATCAGATCCACCGTGTTCATCAATTATGTTGCTTAAATATGTAAAGGTTTTTACATCATCCAACTCTTCTCCGTCAATTGTGATTGGGTTGGTGCATGCTGTGTTGTATCGGAGAATCTTGCTTTCCTCTTTGTGTATATTGAGACCTACTGCTGCTTAGGCTGCTGCTACACTGGTCGTCGTAATGCTTTAATGACACATAATAAATGTTATAATAAAATTTTATTACTATTAATTTGACCATTAATAGGTTTTGGATATTTTGAACACTTGATAATATAACTGACATGTAACTAAGAATCGTTATGATCATTACTTTGGAAAAAACGTGTCACCAAATTTAAATAGTAACTAATGTTAGGATAATGTTTGGTTATAATTCTATAATCTGAAATTATATGTGTGATTAATTCTATACATGAATAATATATGATAAATACGTAAATATACATTTTAATATGTTAATATCTTCCATTAAAATTAATTTCAAAATGCATCACCTCTTAGTTATTACATTTCTGTATTATTTTCTAACGATATCTAACAAAATAAAACTTGGTGCATGAATGTACACTTCTAATTTCGGTTTAATAACTAGAATTTATTTCTATTATTACATAATTAAATTCAAATAGTCTAAATATCTGAATGATGATAGTTTTATGATGATTACCGGTTATATCCCGACGAGAATTATGAATGGTAACTCTTGAGAACTATTTATGGACCAATACGATACATATATTTTTATTGTATAATTTCACTGGTTGAAATCATGAGTCGATTGAAGCTAGACCACTATGAAAAACCTGGAAGTACTGGACGGCCGTTTAGTCCTAGTATGGGACTCCTCAGCAGTGCTCATCCACGATCCCGCCTCCCCCCGCGAGATTCGAACCCGGGACCTATCAGTCAACCAGTGAAATTTCTAAAAATCTCCACAAAACCCATTCTGATATTGTATAATTGTTAAGTAGCTAAACTATGCATATTCATGTTCTTATTATAAGCTTTATTTTTACCTATAAACTATTATTATACGATTTACCGTCCTTGAGTTCTGCCCAGTCAATTAATTTCAGTCTCCCACATTCACAGCCACTTTTGGCTAGATCTTGTTAAAATGTTATTTTCTATTTTATTGTACGATATGGTCTGTTTGGTTTGTATGTAAACCCAGTAAGTTTCAAATACATGATTCATATCGCACAGGCTGAGATGGGTGTTCTGGAATTAGCAGGTCCGGGTAAGCAGGAAGAAGGACCGATAAAGACTCTAGACTGCTCATACAGGTTTATGCGTTATAGGTCCGGTCGATAAATCACTGTTCTCGAATTGGCAGTATCACTACATTGTAGATTAATAGGGTACAAGATCACAGGTTATAAAACTACCAATACTATTTATTTCTAGCTACAATAAGTATAGTAGCGCAAATACTACTATACCTAATTGTTGATTAGCTTCATTTGAGTTATGTATAAATATGTACATTCTTGTTATGAATAGTGTAATTTGTATAATCTCGTTAGACTTCATTAACATAAAGGACAAATGTTAAAATTCGTATACGTGTTTAATTCCTTTCAATGTTTAAATTTACAAGTGAAGATTGATCAGTGGGTAATCGTTTACACGATTTTATTTTCTGAGTTTGGACATTTTAGTAGTGTTCCTTGTTTCAGTATTTTTAGAATTGCATAAAATTTTATTTGACATATTAAATAGTCAACTTTCTATAAATTCACGTTTATTTCTATTGATTGTTAGTAGTACCGATATTAAGGTTATATCATTCTATCTCACTTTTATAATCATTTGATCCTTACTGGATACTAGTTAACTTTCATTAATTTGTTTTCTGTCTACATTGTAACATTTAATTTCGTTACCATTTTTTCATACTAAGAAAATATTGTTCGTTTAGTCAGATGGATTATTGATTTTCGTAACCTTTTCATGTTATATAGTTCGATTGAAATGTCAGATTGATTAAGGAAATATTGTGATGATAATTATTACCAATCGGCGTTTTCTTTTCAGAATTTTGTTTGTGATGTTTGATATGAAGAGGCATATGTATGAATTGATTATGACAACTATGATGGAGAACCATTGATGAAAAGCACTCAAAGTTGTTAATATGTTTCTCTGATTTCCCAGAACTGTAGTTTGTTATAAGGTGTTATGGTTGGTATTGATTTTTATTGTTTAAATCACTGACTAATCTTATTCAGATAACCATTAAATTGTGAGCAGCTCTTTCGTCCATGTTAGTGAATTCTCTACAGTGTGCAGCCACGACTTTACTGTGTATCGAACACATAACGTTTATGTCTCGCTTACGAACCCTCAACCTTAAAATCACTGAGCCGATAACTTCCGATTTATTTACATATGTATGTTTACAAATTAGTCATTCAAAACCAATTAGTAATCCTATGGCTTACTATGTAATATAAATGATGTTTAAACGAAAAAGATTTCCAGATAATTGATGCCAGTTTATGATGTTCATAACAGATGGTAATATATGTTGGAGAGATATTATATTCATTCACTTCACTATTTGATATCAGTACGTCTAATTCTATATGATAGTGGACTTTCTATCAAAAGCACGGTTAACAATCTCAAATAATAAGTCATTTCTGAAGTCAATGAATTTTCATGTTATTCTAAATATACACAATATAGCCCAGCCATAATAAAGATAAGAAACTTACAAAACCGAAAATTATTCAATATCTTACTTTTCGGCGACTGATTTGCAAGTCAGCATTTCTTTTAGTCAAGATGTTATCTTACAGATTAAATTGGTTCTAGTGAGAAGCCATAACTGGTGCATTCCAATCCGTGTAGATTATGAGACAGTTGTCAACCTCAGACAATGGGTGAGAGGTTGCACAAGATCATGAACCGAATAATGTTAGACATTAACACCGTTCGATTTAGGCTCAGTGGTCTAAAGGTTAAGCGTTCGTGCTCGAGACCGAAGGTCTTGGGTTCGAGTCCTTTTGGTTTGAGACTATGGATGCACACTGTTGAGGAAACCGATACTACGACGAGATAGTCATCTAGTGATTCCAGGTTTTCAATCGTTATCTAGCTTAGTTCGACTCATGAATTCGACTATTAGAATTACTACAATCTCCACAAATCCCCATTTTGATATGTCAAATTGTTTATTGATTAATTAAAAAATCAGCTGACAGATCTCGATAAAAGTGTACCTTTAGGAGAATATCTTTCTATTTGATCATATTTCTTGGTTTCAAATACATTAATTTTCAAAAGGCATTTTAATTATTCCTAATTATATTAGTCTGATTACACTATTTTATTTTCAATGTTTTTTATGTGTTTTTCACAACATCAACACTACGTCAATTCATTGGCCCCAAATAATCTATTTCAAATGATAATAGTTTCAAGTTTATTATTATTTCATAATCCTTGGAATAAAAGATTGTGAAATTTGGTAAAAATACAAAAGTCAACTTACCATAGGACATAAAAAACATTTTGAAATGATGTAATAATAATAATAATAATAACAATGGCAGCCTTCATGAAAAAGCAAAGGTCTTTCAAAAATGTTTACATTTATACCAATTTAGTCGGTCCTGAGAAACTTTTACTTAATAATAGTATAAATAAGATTAAACAGAAAAGATGATCAAATCGTTGGATCAGTTTATCAAATTCCTATATCAATCAGTTAGTTGATTGTATATATATATATATATATATATATATATATATATATATATATATATATATATATATATATATATATATATATATATATATATATATATATATATATATATATATATATATATATTCAAATAAAACTGGACCTATCAACTATATGCATTAGTTGGAACTAGCATAATTCACATTAGTGCAACAAGTGATATTGAGATCAAATGGAGATATCAATCAAAAATTTTGTTTGGGATTTAATGTTCAAACAGATAAATTAAAATCAGAGGACGGTTTTTTTGCATATAATAGTAATTAAATAATCAATGTAGAGGTTGTGGAGATTATTAAGTTTTTGATTGAGATCATGAACCGATTGATGTTAGACCAATGTTGGAAACCTAGAAGCACTGGACGGCCGTTTCATCCCATTGTAGGGCTCCTCAGCAGTGTGCACCCACAATTCCGCTCGCGAGATTCGAACCCAGGGCCTTCAATCTCGCGCGCGAATGCTTAGCCTACTGGACCACTGAGCCGGTAACCAGTTGTGTTAATGTCTAACGTCGACCAATCCACGAAATTGTACGACCATCTCTCATTGTACTGAGATAGATACCTGTCTATACGTGACACGGATTAGCTCCACTGGTCATGGCTTCTCACTAGAACTCTAACGGTGGTCTAACATCATTCAATTAATGATTTCAATCAACAAGTAATTTAATAGTTGAATTCATGAGCCAATTGATGCTAGACCACCATAGAAAACCTGGAAGCACTGTACAGTCGTCTCGTCCTAGTATTAAATTAAAATTGAAGGAATAAAAATAACATCACATCATATGACAAATATTTGAACACAAAATATAAATTCACTTTATTCTGTTAGATTTTTGTCAGCTGTTTGCGGGTAGTAATACTTTATAATCAAAATTACAAATTGGATCGTAAATGAATAAAAGCATTTGCTAATTGCATAACCACTTATGTATAGCCACTTACGTTTTTAACAGCGTTATTAAGTATATTTTTACTTTGTCTCATACGTATTCACATATTTGCCATGATTTCTTGACGTGTAACTTATTCCAATAAAATTCATTTATGCTAATATTTTCTAATCCACAATGTACCTTTTAATTCTTAAATTTTACATGTTGTAACTTACGAGAACCTGTGTATTTCCAGAAAATGTCTGAATAATTGATTATTTGATTATTCAGTTTGAATACATGCGCACAATTATGAAAGACCTTGGATTATTTTCATTTAAACTTATATGTGCAAACAGATCAGTCGAATATGTATACAATCATGGGAAGATTGAGCGTTCACAAGATACACAGTGTGAGACCAATCAGCAGTAAGATCATCGATGCATATTTCCAAGGGACTTAATTTTAGGACAGAACAGCTATCGAATGCTTTATGGTTACCGTTTGTTTGTCTACCTTAGGCCTTTCTGTGATATCGATAACATTCAGTGATCTCCACAAAATCATATACTGACGAATCAATAAAAGTCTTGATGTCTTTTTTCGCTGAGTGTTGTACCAGAACAGATATAAGGTCAATTTATTAAACTAAGGTAACAAGAAAACTATTTGGTTATGTTCAAACATTCAGTATAATTATGTTCGATTTTCAATAAATATCTAACGTATCGTTTTTTCTAAAATTTTTACTTCCCGGGTATTTTGCCTGCTCTCTTAAATGACAAAATAATCAGTTAACTTTGTCACTTTTTCGATGACTAACTAAACGTTTTGATACTAATAACAAAAATCAAAATTTATAATCAACATTTTTACGAAGTGAATAATGTCAACCCTAAAAACAAGCGGTTACTTATAAGTCCTCTGAGGTAATTTAAAATAATATAAAACATAAATGTGATGAAGTCTAAAATTCTCTTTCACAGTTTTACATGTTTTTTTTTCGAACCATATTTTCGTTCCTTAGATCACTACTACTACTACTATTATTATTATTATTATTATTATTATTATTATTATTATTATTATTATTGTTTTCATTTTGTCATATTTACTTATCATCTTCTTTAGTTGCAATAAATGGGTCAACTGTGGCAATTTGATCTGATGTAAATATTCTTACTAGGTCCTCCTATTTAATGCCTAATTGAACTACAATCAACTAACCGTTATGTAAGGCACGTTCACATCTTGGTTTCTTCTATAATTATTTGATTAAAAGGCTAGTATATTTATAGCTTAGCGATTAGATGAATCTAGTGCTTTTGAAAATAAAAACTGAATGTAAACATTATCCGATATTATTGCAACCATTAAAAAAATTGTTTTCACTTTTATGATGATTTTAAATTTTGTTTTTGATTAAACCAATTTTTTAGACACTACACAGTGATACATTGGACGTCACTAAACGTCAGTCAGATAAAATGAATCTACTGAATGTCAGTGATCAATCAATCATAAAATCGAATTCATACAAATCTGTATCATTAACAAATAATAGACTGACATCCTCTGAAATTGTTCCAACAAATGAAACTGAAAATAATTCAAGTACAAATTCTCTGCACAATAATAATAATATTAATAGTATTTCACCAAGATTATTTCCGAGACAAGTTACAACAGCAAATGTAATATTAACTAAACCAAGTATTATGTGTTCATCTAGTGATTCAACAAAAATATCTAAAGTTCAAAGACAATTTCGATCAAACAATAACGTAAGTTATATATTTTCGTATATAAAGCAAATATTTGTTACTTTTGTAAATATGACTAGGTCCCTATGCAGTTAAATTATTCAATATTCATTAATTGCAATATGCAGAATCTAGCTTAATTTTTTTATCTCATATAGCAACTACTTAATATTAATGAATCTCGCATAAAGTATGACATAATATGAAGTGTGGAAACTTGTACCTTGCTTCATGAATTTAGTCAGCTAGTCAATCGTAATGTGGAACCCGGTAAGTGCGTACATAAGTTCAAATTGTAACACCCCACTAGTACAACTAGATAAAATTCCTGGGGCAAATCCGAGAGCAGTAGAAGTAACAAACAATATTGGTGGTAGACCTTTTAAAGATGTTATTTAAATTGTCAGTCATAAGGTCAGGTACTAACCAACAATGACAATCAGAGTAAATACAGAAAAACACAAGGACAACAAAATACACAAACACGGCTAATCACATAGAAGGTTTTCGGAACAAATCGACATAACGCTTATGGAATAATTGAATACTTCACTTCTAAATGAAGCAAGCACTAAATATATTGTCAAAAATAACAGTGAAAGCTCGGCGCTTAGACTTAGCTCAGAGAATAAAACATCTTCAAAAGTATTCACCTGAGTTTCAAGCCTCTATCACTTAAATATATACTCGGATATATATGCATACAGTTGGATGGCTGTTCAGTGATCTAGGGGTTGTGCGTCCACGTGCGGGACCGAAGGTCCTGTGTCCGAGTCATGCGTGCGGAAATTTTCGGATGCGCACTGCCGAGTAGTCCCATACTAGGATGGAATGGCCATACAGTGCTTCCAGGTTCCCAATGTTTTTTAAGCTTAGATCGACTCGTGAAATGAACTTTTTAATTGATTGATGCCTTCACAAAAATAAAATTATTGATAAAAATCCATCATACGAATAACAATGTTTTGACTTCTTTTGTCCGTATTTTCTCAACAACATTTCATTAATCTAGTAAATTGTAGTATCTTCTTTGTATTTTAACTCTATTACTTAATATGTTTTTCTTGTCTAATCCTTTCCAATTTTAATATACATGTCTGAATATTTTAGTGTTAAGAATAAAGGCTAGACCAATGAAATATATATTTCAACCAAACAAAATAAGTTTTCTAGTAGTTTATTGCGTGCCTCATCGTTTGAACCCACTGAATACAGTCAAAAGTAACCAGTAAGTTCTAGGAAACGGCTGGTTGCATTTAGAGGATACCTTCACCTAGACTACCAGCACTGCCTAAAACTATATTTTTAAACATATATACTGTTGAAATATGATGAATGAACTGAAATACATATAATCAGCTTGTTCGTTAATTGATAGAAAACTGCTGATTGCGATAAAGTAAAAATTTTTTGCAATAAATTATGAAGGAATATAATTACCCAGTTTTACAATCGTTTTAATTACATCTATTGCACTGAAAGACATAATCTTTAAACCAAGTAAACTTTATTATATCTTCCTTTTGTGATTCATTTCATTATGATGGATATTTGCCAAATCAATTTTGAATTTCAGTTCTCTATATTGCTGTTTCATTTATTATTGGATTGGATTGAACAATATCGTTAAATAGTTTTAAATAGTACATAGAATGTTTGAAAAATATGCAAGAATTCGTTAATACGTCTGGAGAGTATTCGAATCCTTTGTGTATCGTTTTATGGCTCTATATTTCACTTGTTTTATTGTGTGATGATTATATTGACACTATAAAAATATAACAATGCAAATAAGGTCAATACTGTTTTTAATATACTTGAACCCTACATTAACTGCTTACTTCCATACATCTTATTAATAATGTGCTTAATTTGTTGATTCGCTCAACAATGTTTTCTAGAAGCTGTGGAGTAAAATGTTTTACTTAACTTTGGTTTTTACGCACAGTATTTATTATGAATGTGTATAAGGAATAATGACAATGGTTTAAGCATTCTCAGAAGTATCCATTTTTACCACTTGAAAGTACATACTATTGATGCAGTTCCATCAATCAAAAGTTCTTACTACTCTATGTCTTTATCAGTACAGTCATTACTGATTCGATCTTGTATAACAGTAAAACACATCATTTTATTTGTTTATATTTCAAGAGCACAACGTGATAATTTAGTCTTACAATTCAAAGACTCAATATCTATAAAATCTTAAGGAAATCATGTATTGTAGATTTTAAGGAATATAAGTAATGTATGTATATAGTAATGTGTGTCCTATCCACTTTCAACATCTTTTCCTAATTTCCTCCTCAGCTGGAAGTTGGTTTGTTCTCTCTCACAGTATGTTGTTGATGATGGTATCCGACTAGTGGACATTGATTTTTTTATTAAATAATGAAAATAAATTAAGATCATTAGTCAATGATAAACTTTAAATTGTGAATATTATGTTAAATATTCGAACAGGTTTGTTATCAGATAAGCTGATCTACAAATACAATGTAATTAGATATAATATCTAGGTTGATAGATAATATTTAAACACGATGAGTAAACTTTAAAGTAAATAGAATTGTATATTAAAGACAAAATGATTTTATTCCGAGAACAGATCCTAAATTCGAATATGGATTTTCGTCAAAATCGGAACCAGCACTTTTAACAATGTCTTGCATCGTGCATCAGGATAATATTTCAATAACCCTGACTAGTCAGTAAGGAATTGTGACTTATATATAATGTATGACTAGCCCTTAATGATTATGTAGTTGCAATACAGTCATTAGTTTGAGTGACTCGACATTATGTGCACTATGTTTTGATGTAATTTGGTTAGCGATAGACGTTAGGAAACATTAAACCTAGGTTTTGTGTTAGTCAGCATGACCTATTTGCAAACTTATGGATACTGATATCCTTTTTGAGCTAAGAACTTAACTCACATTTTAGTGGTAAAAATCTCAATGAATGAGATGATGTAGTACCAACATCTCAATTAATATTCCGCTCCGATCTTTTATATCAAAATAATTAAAACAAATTAACGAAGATAGGTAAAGCCACAAAATCAAATAAATAATAAACGCTTGTACAGCTGTATGTTTAGATATTCAGTTTGGTTTAGAATGTATTTGTTAATCACTTAGTGTAAAATGTCTTAAAATTATGGTTTACAAAGATATTGCTATTCTTATTTAAATCCAGATACTACTGTATTTCAGTTTATTCATGAAGTTAATAAGGTAAGGCCATTATCACTAGTAGAAATGAATATGTTATTTTGTTGAGCACACTTCATATAGAGTCATATTTACTTATTCTTAAAACATAGGCTTCAAAAGCTAACTATTCATTTATTTGGTGTCGACTAAACGAATTGGTATCTAAGACGCATCCTAATTCATATCTCGGTAGGTAATAACAATGACATCTAAATTTATACTGCTAAAATAATAACTGAGTATGATAAAATATTTATGTCATTAGCGAAAATATTCTTTCAATAAAGATAGTTGACTAAGTTTAAACAGCAAAAAAATTTTTTAGTTCCTGCTGAGGATTCTGAAGGTGTGGTGTTGTCTGAACTGGATAGTGTCGTTATAATTAACCGCGGCGTTACTATATACTGTTCACAAGTAAACTTTTCTGCTCAAAAGTAACAACACTTGAAAAATAATAAAAACTATCAAACTAAAGTTTAGTATTTATTATGTAATGTGACGATAATACACATCTGACTTTATTACTTGCACACATTTAATGCTATAAACTATTTACTTTAAATTAATTGTTTAATTACTCACTCAAATTTCGGTTTCGTAATTGATTTCAGTCGAATAACACGATCATCTTTCTCAATTCTACTAACAAGATAATCATTTTCTGTTTATTTACTTTTCTTCAATTGTCAACTATCTCATTGAATACTAACGTTTAATTCATAGTTATTGTCGATAAATAATTGAAGAGAAAAACAAAGTTCCCAATGATTATCAACTAACATACCTGATTACCAACCTTTGTTTTTTTTCACTTACAGAGTCGTGAAAATATATTTGATAGGGATGTGGATAACGATCAATTCTTTTTCGGTACATCAACAAATACTGTTCCATCGAACTTGCCACAAAATTATCGTCATCATCATTTTCCAAGTAATTTATCAAATAATTATTCAAAGAACAATACATACACTTACAGTAAAAATATTTTATCATCAGTCTCGACAGAAGAACTGCTTAGCCAATCAGATACCACTTCATATAATATGATTCAAATGGAAGAAGATAGTTCTAATTATTCATTAGCCAATAATACAAATAATACTACTAATGCCGCTGATACTTCTGCCGACAAGAATAATAATATTAATAAACAACCGAAAGAATTATTCAGTGAAGTAGCTCGCCTACGTTATGAGTTATTGTTATCACGTCAAGATGCTTTACAAGCAGCTGATCGATTGAGTAAACAAGAAACTGAAATTTATCAACTTCGTCAATTATTAGACCAACTTATCAATAATAATAAAATCAATACTACCACTAATGGTAATAATAATCAATCCATCCATTTAAAAGTACCAAAATTAAATATTCATTCTGATTATTGTACAAATTTACAGGGAAATGAATTGAAATCCTATAGTGATAAACAGTTATATTCACGTAAGCAAGCAGTTCCGATTACTACTAATACTACTGGTGTTAATTGCTTACAGAATTCAACAAATAATAGTAACAATAACAATGATGCCAATGTTTTACAAACTGTAACTGCTACATTTAAAGAATTAGATGATGCTATGGCAAGGTTAGTTTACATAGCTTATTTATTATCCATCTATCAAACCATACCACTGCTACTACAATTCTTTATTAAATATATATTTTATCAGAATGTTTTAGTGTGTATTTGTTAGACTTGATGAAGGGACTATTTTTGTTATAAACTAACATCAGTAGAAGCTTCCAGTTTTACATCAAAAAAGATATTTACCACTGAGTTGGTATCTGATAATCCATTTAAAGATTATTGGACTTTTGTTATAGCTTATTAACAATTGTTTGGAGCTTAAAATGTTGACCAGTTAATCTTCATGATCTGAAGATGTGATATTTTCAGTGAGTTTTGAAGGTTATCGGTCCTTCTTTGTGTAGAATAATTGGTATATATTGTCGATAGGTTTTTAGTTTACTTTATTTTTACTAATCAATAAATTTTGTCAGTGAGATATATGCTGTACAATTTTTATAAAACCGAATATAATTAGTTTATTTCAACAAACAAATCTTAACAAATCAGTTAATAGAATTCAACAGTAAAAGCTTCAGTCATAAAATCTATCGAGATTGTATATTCTAGTAAACATATAAATCTCAACCACTGTAACAACATAGTAACTTCAAGTCGATTTAATTAAAATGATACACATTATCCTGATGAATCTGAAAATAATCTTGAGAACAAATTAAAAATTGAGTAGAAAATTTATAATATTCAGATGCATATGAATAATAGTAAATTCGTGTAGATCACAAGATAGATTTCAGTGGTTTTCTGATTTATTTGTCTATAAAACTCTATCGTTCTATGAGATATCATCATAAGGTGTGTAGAACACCTTCACAAGTGACCAAACACATATACTATGGAAGAAGAATTTGACTATGATCAGCCTTTGTGCTGTTATTTCTAATATTTTTATTTTTATTTACTTGTTTCCTAACTCTGCAAACATTTCTCTGAAGAAGTGACTTACACTAAGCCATGAAACGTCAGAAAATCTAATTTTTCTACTCATTGGGATATTACAAATATACTATTTATTTAGGACGTGTATAAGGTCCATTTCTGTTAACCTTCTGATTACCAAGTGACCTCGTTCGAATTCAGGTCCATATTTACTCAAATTCATCGACACAAGCAATGGTATATTGTGACGTCCTATAAGCCAATTTATTTATTCGGTGTTTTCCGCCATTTTGGCCCCTTATCTTATACTTTTACTGACTGACTTAGCACTCAAATGAAATTTATGTTCATTTTCATGGATAGAAACGTAAGTAGTATTACCATCGAATGATATTGATAAATATGTGAGACTAAGAGGATAATCTATTCAGTTAGACGTACTTTCCAATAGTGGAATATTTCGAATACCCCAAAAGTTATCATCTTCCAAATCGAACTATCAGGTAAGATCAACAGAAAAATACTGAAAGAGTTCTTTAAGAGAACGAGAATTCTTTCTACTAAAATTCTAGCCTTCTTAAGCGGTAAAGTATCTATTCTACATTTACCTAGTCAGCTTTTGTAATACTGCTACATCTTCAAGCTTCAGTGATTCATAAACCAATAACTCATAAAGTTATCTAAGATGTTGTAAGACCAACCTAAGTGAATGTTCGAAATGCTCGTTGGCCTATTGTAGCAAACAAAATGCTTACTACAGCGGCCGTGTCGAAATAATTTGCGAAAGTATGTGGCAAATTAAAAGCCCCTATCTATTTCAAAATTAAAAGTGGCAGAAACAAATAAAAATATCAACAATGAACACTACATTTAGTAATTATTACAAATAAATAAATGTGCAATGAACACAAACTAAATACTAATGAACTGTCTACAGCCTTAAGGGAATGGAAGTACACTAATAAAATGGAGTAAGTAATACCATTCCATATTAATATTTAAATTGCATGTTAAAACAAAAGGTCATAATATGCTGAGTGTTCAAAAATAATCGAAAACAACATGAGCTACTGAATATTAGTAAGTAGTGTAGTTAACACAGAAAAGAAAGGAATTGGAATTGGATTAAGGAAAAATTAACCAGAGTTCATTATGTCTTCTTTTGCTTTTAGTCTTTTCTGATTGAATAATATGTGTTGAAATAATTTCGGCTACTACTAAGTGATATATATATATATATATATATATATATATATATATATATATATATATATATATATATTAGTCACTCAAAGCAAATCGTGAACAGATATATATATATATCTGTTCACGATTTGCTTTGACTGACTAATTTTGTGCGTTTTCCGCTCAATTCCTTCAACAGCTCTTACAAAATGATCACAAACTATGGCAAACATAAATACTGATGAAATTCAAGTGAGATTACTTCGGCGATTAATATATTTTTCTCCTCATAAGTTCTATAGACGAATACGAGGTTATTTCATTTGAATCACTCCATCGAACTTATTATAGAATGATAAAAGATGTGGTAAAAGTGAAATCAGTTTGGAAGTGAAGATGAATGCTATAAACAGCATAATTCCGAAATAGTTCCTCATAACTAGTTAATACTAGCAAATATGTTTATGAAAATCAACCGACTTAATGTCGTCTTTATTGTTCTATATAATAGTAAAATAAAATTGTTTTTATCTCATTGTCAGTCACTGATAATTTCTTTTATATTCCTATTTCTCACTCTCTTAGACTTGAATTAGAACAAAGTGAACTGCTTCGTGAACAAGCTCGAATCCGTGCACGAATCGTTGCTGCACGTCCAAAACAGCTATCATCACGTTGCAAACAATCTAATTCCAATTCTCTCTTATCTCGTTCAACCAAATCAACTATTCATCCAAGACAATTTGATTCTTCTTTGTCAAAAATGCCAAATAATTTGGCAAATCATGGATTATTTAGTCCTAGTGATCAAATGAAGTATACAAATTCTCCTCGTACAATTACCAATAACAATATTCATAATATAAATAATAATCATAACAAATTACAGCATGAAATTGTTGAAGGTATCCCTAAGATTTCTTTTTCATCAGCTCGAACAACTTCACCACATATTTAAAGAATAGAAAGCATTTATATATAATGTTTTGTCAGATGCTTCGTTTTGTTTTTTTTAGGAACCCACCATGCATTTCAATGAGTCTCAACTATTATTACCATGAATAAAATGTCTCCATATAGTTATTAGTTGATTCTTAGAAACGAAATTGTCAATTGTTGCCAATTGTTAGTTTTGTTAACAACTTGCTGTCAAGTGTATTTGGTTTTAGAGCTTCTTCATTACTTTTGAATTATTACGAAATTTCATAATTTACAAGTAAATTATATGTAAATCAATGATGTATATTTCTGTATGTAGATAGAGATGTTACCTTCGTTTTAACTTCATTTCTGTTCAATGAAGCACAAATTAAACTTCTCTTTTGATGTTCTACATTATTTTCTATCTAAAAAATAACAATGTTGATTCTATTCATCTTTCGGTGTTTTAAATCACAGATCTATAATGTTTTCCAATGACATCAAAAATTAATGTGATATGGTTTTGTCAACTTTATATGAATGTAAAGTTCAACTACTTATAAGTAGCAGTACAAATATGTGAAAAACATATTTACAAAGAATTTAAGTAATATCTTATAGGTATCGTTAGTTTATGAATATTTAATTTTGAGAAAGTAAATTCTCTTAAATATTTAAGCAAATTTTCAAGAAACATTGTAATGATATTTTATGTGAATTCTTGTTATTTGTACTTTTCTGTAATGCAATAATACAAAAATAGAGAATCATGAAACTAATAGATTGTTTTAAATTTAAACATATCCACCGAATCATAAACCATATTACATATAGATTTTTATTGTTTAAAAATATATACGTTTTAAAGTACTTACATCTGTTACTCCTCGTGGAGCTGGGCCGTCAACCAATATTCTCTAATATGCTCTGTCCTGGCCTCTCATTTCTAGTTCTTTTCAAGTACTTGGTGAACTACTAAAGCCATAATCCAGAAGATAGAAGAGTTTATTAACAGTTGTCAACGCAAAATACTTCGGATCAGTTGGCCATACACTGTGGGAGAGAACAAATCGGATTCCAACGGAGGAAGGAATCAGGAAGAAGTGCTGGAAGTGGATAGGACACAACTGCGTCACAAGTCAAGCCCTCACTTGAAATCCTCAAAGCCAAAGGAGAAGAGGAAGACTAAAGAAATAATTACGCCGGGAAATAGAGACAGACATGAGAAGAATGAACAACAATTGAATAGAACTAGAAAAGAAGGCCTAGGACAGAGTGGGTTTGAGAATGCTGGTCGGCGGCCTATGCTCCACTGGGAGTCACAGGCATAAGTAACTATTCATTCTCTTGATGTCTACCTTCACTTCATGATGAAATGCGTTCTTTCCTTTTCTTCTTTTCTTTTAGCCTTAAGGATTTCGAGTTAGGGCTTACTTTTGATATAGTTTGATGATTTCCCAATGTGTGTCCATCTGGGACCCATATAGGGTTGCTTCTGGTCCTAAGGTCGTATAAAAGAAGATGGTTGGGTATAGAATTAGTAGCCACATCCCTTAGAAAAGAACCTTACTAACAAAGGTCCTCAAGAAAGAAATATATACACATGACAAATTGCATATCTACGAACGATGGAATGCTTGTTAGAATTTCATGAGTTGTGGTTTGAAGTTTTTCTAAAGTTTTAATAACTAAAAAATTAAATGTAAAAAGAAGGAATATACGAAATCTGAGCAATACATGGTCATTCAAGTGAATTAGGTATCTGTAATGTTGTGAATGGCCAAAGTTTCCATAATAAGCAGTTGGTTTAAGCATAAATCTCTCCATTTATTTGACGGGGTTAGGTAAATGATGTCAAAGAATGAGATAGAAGCCCCACAAAAGTAATTGGTCTATGCATAATGAAGTGGTCAGTCGTGAAAAGTTGTATTTAACTCTGGGGCAATATACTTAATCTACACATTGATTGAAACAAATATTTCAGATATATTAATTTAAAGTACAATATTAACATAAAAACTGTGATATAAGTTTTTATGATGAAATAAAGAACTTTCCTTCAAGATCTTGTGACCAATTGGTATAGCTAGTTTAGAAATAATTCCAACTGGGAATAATTCTAAACTCATTAAGTTATGCTTTATTTGGTTAGTTACGTAGAAGATTTCTAAGTAAAAGTATTTATAGTGAAATAAATTAATATCGGTATACACGTTTTATTAAATCTGTTGAATTTTAGGGTTAGCTTCACTGAGTGGTCGTAACTAAGGAGCCATTAAAAACCAAGAACTGGACAGCTGTTTCTTCAACGTTTCGTGGATGCTCACTTCTGAGCAGTCACCTGTTAGATCTAAATATCTATCCAAATGTTCCTGGTTTTTGATAGCTATCTGATTCAGGTAGACTCGTAACGTAAACCATATATAGGCCTAAAGTAAGGTATAGATATTCCTGTAATGAACGAGAAGTGGAAACGACAGATTTATTAGTTCATACAAAATTACAGAATGTCTTCGTAAAATCTGAGAACTATACATAAAATGTTTCATTTGCAAATCTTCTATCAATTGTCTTTTACATTCTGTATGATTCTCCCAAATCACAATTCCTTCCTATTTCCTTTTCTGCTGCCAGCCACTCAACCTATGATTGGTGTTACATACTCTTTATGTCTGTTGACGTAATCAGCATATACCATATCCCTATTTAAACTCAAGCGAATTAAGTGTAGAATCATTTTATTTCAATTAGATTTTAATTATGGATTCACCTGTTCTACAAGTGACAGTCATTTTAGCATTAATTAACCAGACAATGAATTAGTGAGAGTAGTAAATGATTACGTGAGTACTTCAATGATAAATGTGGGTATAGTTATTTCAGCATTCCCAGGTGTAATCTATTAAGGAAGTTTAAAAAGTTTCTATACAAATGATTGATCACCTATTATCTTTATAAAAAACTGAAATTTCTTGTTGAAATGTAGTGTTAACAATAATCCAGTGAGAATTAAAGGAGACCATCGATACAATTTGGAAAATGTTAACGACAAGTAAGTTGTAAACAGTTGTCAATCATATCAAACATCAGACTGACAAGGTACAGGTTATATTTATGACCAAGGGTAGCGCGAGAAAGGTTATAAATAACACTTGAAATCAATGATTCTTCTTGATGACATGGTTATTGATGTCTGCAAACGTACTCAATGAATGTAAACATAAAACTTGTAGTAAACTAAATCGCATAAAAAAATCACATAAAGTGCTTTATATATTGTCAACTCAATGAGGTGTACCTACTAGGTTACAAGGTATGTATCTATTAAATACTGTTAATTGTTTTTTGCTCGATTCACTTTTACTCTTAATTCTGAACATTTGAAGAATGAAGATATCTTTAACTAAAGTTCAAAACCATTGATTCACATTTTTAACTATTTTACTAAAATAAGATATGAATGGCTGTTAGTTTAGGGCGAGGTGTCTGAAAATCCGCAAGAGTTAAGCTAATGAAATACGTTGGTTTTCTTACTGTTATGTACTTATGGCCTGCGAATATATCACGTGACTGATCGCCAATTCGAACATCGACTTTCTGACCAGACCAATGACGCATAAACCAGTACAAGCAGTATAGATTCAATTCTGGGTTTTTATTGGTCCACCGAGATGGTACCTTCTTGTCTAACCCAGCCAGTTTAGTCCAAAACACCAATATCAACCTTCACTTTATGATTCGTGTATTTCAGACATACTTAATTTATATACAAACAAACCTCACCACATCATACTATAAAACAGAAAATAATTATACAAGATCAAGCCAAAAAAGTGGCTGTGATCGTAAGACTGTAATTCAGAAGTTGGGAATAAGTTAGGAATGGTAATTCGTATAATAGTGGACAATAGGTCAAATAGACGCTTTTATTCAGAGGAATATGATTATACATATAATATAGTTACTCAATATTTATACAATAAGAATAAACATATGACGACAGTTCATAAATAGGTCCTAGCAGTTACTGTTCACTTATTCTTCGTCCGTATATATAATACATAGATTATTAAAGCTGGTTAATCGAATCACAATAGGGCAAATATATTTATGTATTAAATTGATCACTTAATATACTTTTTGTCTTCTCATAAATAAACCTGTAATATATTTACTTTTTCCATAAAGTGACAATATTTACAATAAAATTACCGCCTCTGGTTACGTTACTAGTATGAATATGTCATTTGGCAATTCATAAAGAAATTAATACTGTACTTAAAACTGAACATTAAAAATCTATCGAATACAAATTAATATATCCAACAATCCAAAAAAAATGAAAAAAAATCCCGTAGAACTTTCTTTCTTTCCTTGAAAAAGCTTGGACCAGATTGCCGGGCGAAACGTTATATTTACTTCAAATTCATTCGCTGAGATTTAACAAATACATTCTTCCTCTTTAATGCTTCTTTCTTTCTTTCTGTTTGTACACTGTTTATTTATTTTCAAATATTCGTATTGTTTTTCCTACAAATAAATGTGACTTACCACTTACGCCTGTTACTTCTTGTGGAGAAGCATAAGCCACCCACTAGCACTATCCATCCAACCCTGTCCTGGGCAATGCTTTCCAGTTGTTATTCATCCTTTTCATATCTGCTTCCGTTTTCCGACGTTATGTGTTCTTTGGCCGTCCTCTTTTCAGCTTTTCTTCGGGATTCCAAGTTAGGGCTTGCCTCGTGATGCATTTTGATGATTTCCATTTCCATCGTCTTTTCCTAATTTCCTCTTCATCTGGAAATTGGTCTGTTCTTACCCACAGTAGTCTGTTGCTGACCGTATCCGACCAGTTATTAACTTTTGGTAAAACAGACGAGGATACCTTTTTTAATGTCAGAAGGGGTTTTGTGGATATTATAGTAATTTCAATAGTTGAAATCATGAGTCAGTTGAAGCTAGACCACCACAATAGGACAAAAACGGCCGTTCAGTGCTTCCAGGTTTTCCATCTTGATCTAGCTTCAATTGACTCATGATCTCAACTATTGACATACCCTTTTTTGTTAAAAAATATCTGTATAAGTATGATGAGAAAATAGTTAATTATTCAAATTCAATTGAACCAAATCACATCTTCTACTTGGCTATAATTAATTATTTACTTGTAACACATGATAGAGCTTACACAATTAGATGATTTTATTATTATAAATAATTGTTAAAGGTAAAACATAAAGCAATAAAAAGTTTGTATTCACTATGTGACTAAAAATCTATGTAAGTCAATTGTTGTGAAACTGATACTGTTGGTGAAAACAAGAATCTACTATTCTCTGAACCACACTCTGAGCTATCAGTCGATTATCACTAATCATTAAACATAACTTTGAAACATATATCATTGTTTCAATAATGGAACCTGTTCTATTTTGATGCAAGTAGACTACCAATAAAATAACTTAATTAAATTGAAGTGCACTTCGAAAAGTAACTATCACGGAAATGAAATCTGATAAGTATGGTAACTTGATCATGTGGTATGACTGATCCATTGTAGGTTTTGTAAAAGTATAAAGTCTTGATATTCATCACATGATCATTTAGTATATATATATATGCAATTATAGCACTTCGAGGTACGATTTTAGACAATTTTATGCCAACTGTTACTTCCCGATCTCCCAAGTTACCTAAGATATATGGGATTCATAATTTGCATCATTCAGTAAGAAAACAACAAAATGTAAATCGTCAACCACGTAAAAATCCCATGGTCAGATTAAAGAAGCCGAGAACG